CCACGCGTTCACGGGGAAACCCCTCCGTCGTAAATCAGGCCCTGTTCCCCCCCATAGATGCCAGCGTCTTGGTGGCAACAAAAATGTCGAGCGGCCGAACCGCGTCGTTAAAGAATAACTCAGGGAGGGGAGGAAAAAAAAAAGCAACGACTTAAATAGACGCAGCTGATTCCATTCTCCGATATTGTTGAAGTCAGAATGCGTGCTGTCATCTGCTGTGCATACACACGAGTAAGTCGTTCTCTCTGCGTTGTGGTGCGGCTCTCGAAAAAAATGTTTGGTCAACGACAAAAAATGTCTCTCATTCTTCGTTGGAAAGTTGCCGATCCCTTGGCCGAGACTTGAGAGTGTCCCTATCCCCACCCCCCTCCCCCATAATAGAGTTTTTGTTTGCGTTAGAGCGCGTAAATATATAAATGTGTCGTTAAACCCGCCACCACCCGACACAGCCAACTAGTAAGGGCTGTCGCGTAAACAGAACGTGGCCAATTCGTCATGAATACAGCACGCAGGTTGTGTGTTGGAGAGCCAAGGCTGTCGCCTGATGAAGCCGGTTGTAATTACTGGCGAAACGTCGTACTCAGATTGTAAATCGTTGTGGCTTGGCTCTCCAACACACCGGTGTGCTGCACTAGTGACTAATTGGCCACGTTCCGTTTACGTGACAATCCTTACTGATTGGCTGCGTCGGGTGGTGGCGGGTTTAACGACACATTTATATATTGACGCGATCTAACCCAGAAAAAAAATCGGTCGCTATATATTTAAATCTGCTTTGAAATCCCCATCTCTTTAAAGTGTCCTTCCCTGTCTAGTTTGGTCGGTTACCACGCTGGTTCTGTTGTTGTTTGTTGTGCATTCGGATCCTAGGATGTAATGCCGCATTATACATCTGAATCACCATTATTATTATTGGCTAACACCTTCATGCATACAGGACCGCAGAGCTTTGGGGGGCAACGGTTGGCACCGTCTCGTCCGCGTGCGATCGACCGCTCCTGCCCCCTTTTCTCGTGAGCCACACCCATCCCTGCCAACCCCTGAGCAGTGCCCAACCTTATTACAGACCAATTCAGATATTATTGCTCACCCCGTGCTCCTTATAAATCTCAACTTTCATCCTACAAAGTCCCATCACAAGGGAGAAACACAAATAAACGCAAACAATTTTAAAGTTGCCCGTATTGAAACGGCTGCACGCTGCATGGGCCCGACAGCTCAATTCCCCTGGACAAGGATACGGGGTGACACGGTACGCGCACCCTCGAGTCTCAGGGTAGGGATGAGGGCTCGCAGAGTCTCGATTGCCGCTTTTCGAGGAGAGTTGTTTACACATCGGCGCCTACTCCGAGCAAGTTCGCCTGGAACGCGTCCGTACGCCGTCAGATAGATATCGGGTGGAAGGGGCCGTCCATAAATGACGTCACGCGATTTTGGACGATTTTTTACACCCCCCCCCCCCTTGTCACACGGCGTCACAAAAAGTCAGACCCCCCCCTCAAATATGACGTCACAAAGCTCTGCCCCCCCCCCGGTGCGTGACGTCATTTATGGACGGCCCCTGAAGCTGACCATACTTCACCACGCCGCGTCAGCGCGGGTTGAAGGCGGCGGGGGAGGGGAGGAAGAGGGGGAGCATAGATGCGGGAAGATGGGCACTGAGTACAGGGTGCTCCTCTGCTAACGAACATTCGACTTACGAACTTTCAGAGATACCAACATTCCGGTCCGTATGTCGAGTTGCCTGGTCGCACTGAGAGTCGTAAGTTCAACCACCTCGCAATAGATGGAGGTGGTGGCATCTGCATCTGCAGAACGTGAAGAACCAGTGGCATCCACATCTGCAGAACGTGAAGAACCAGTGGCATCTACATCTGCAGAACGTGAAGAACCAGTGGCATCTACATCTGCAGAACATGAAGAACCAGTGCCATCTACATATGCAAAACGTAAAAAATCAGTGGCATCTACATCTGCAGAACGTGAATAATCAGTGGCATCTAAATCTGCGGAACATGAAGAACCAGTGGCATCTACATCTGCAGAACGTAAAGAATCAATGGCATCTAATTCTCCGGAACGTGAAGAACCAGTGGCATCCACATCTGCAGAACACGAAGAACCAGTGGCATCTACATCTGCAAAACACGAAGAACCAGTGGCATCTACATCTGCAGAACGTGAAGAACCAGTGGCATCTACATCTGCAGAACGTGAAGAACCAGTGGCATGTACATCTGCGGAACGTGAAGAACCAGTGGCATCTACATCTGCAGAACGTGAAGAACCAGTGGCATCTGCACCTACAGAACGTGAAGAACCAGTGGCATCTACATATGCAGAACGTGAAGAATCAGTGGCATCTACATCTGCAGAACGTGAAGAATCAGTGGCATCTAAATCTGTAGAACGTGAAGAACCAGTGGCATCTACATCTGCAGAACGTAAAGAACCAGTGGCATCTACATCTGCAGAACATGAAGAATCAGTGGCATCTACATCTCCAGAACGTGAAAAACCAGTGGCATCTACATCTGCAGAACATGAAGAACCAGTGGCTTCTACATCTGCAGAACGTGAAGAACCAGTGGCATCTACATCTGCAGAACATGAAGAACCAGTGTGGCATCTACATCTGCAGAACGTGAAGAACCAGTGGCATCTACATCTACAGAACGTGAAGAACCAGTGGCATCTACATCTGCAGAACATGAAGAACCAGTGGCATCTACATCTGCAGAACGTGAAGAACCAGTGGCATCTGCATCTGCAGAACGTGCAGAACTAGTGGCATCTATATCTGCAGAACGTGAAGAACCAGTGGCATCTACAGCTGCAGAACATGATGATCCAGTGGTACCTACATCTGCAGAACATCAAGAACCAGTGGCAATTTCATCTACATGAGATGATACAACTTTTAAAGCCACCCCCCGTGTTTAGTCTACACGCTGTACAACATGTTTGGAATCGACAGGAGTAAAGTTGGACTTACGAACAAATCGACTTACGAACAGACCTCTGGAACCGAACTCGTTCGTAAGTAGAGGAGGCTCCTTATTCTCGAGCCTACACCGCCCTCTGCTGCTGCCGCTGCTGTTGTTACAGTCCACGCACTGTGTAAGAACACGGCAAAGGCGCAGCCCTGCAACGGCTTGCTGAAGCCACTAAGCTGGCAGAAGGAACGCCGCCGAAGCCACCCCTACTTACTCTCTCGCTCCAGGCTGGCCGGAACGTCTTGCGAAAAGGTTACCCACACTTTGTCTCACCGAGTGACTATCTTTTACACGCACCGCACCAGGTTACTCATTTGAGGCCGAGTCGACCTAGGGGGGGGGGGGGGAGGCCCACGACCGGTTCGGTATAATCGTGCTGGCGTCCGCCGTGAGCGGGATTTCAAACACGGATCACCGGCTGCGTAGCGCAGCGCGCACCGCCGCTTCCCATGACAAAGATCCCCCGTGTAGCCTTTACAGACTGTTGGGCCAAGTGCTGTTTGCGAGCCCAACACACACACAGAGACGGGAACGAGCGATGGTCGATTGTCGGATGTTTATTCTGGGCTTTCACCCACAGAGACACCGTAGCACAATCCCCTCCCCCCCTCTTCCCCCTCCCCGCCCCTCCCCCCTCTTCCCCCCTCCCTCCGCCCCCCCTTAACTTCCCCGAGTCCAGACCCGTTCACGTGACACTGACCAGAGCACGGCAAGTCCTCGCTTAACGCGTTCCGCCCCCCTTAGTGAACACGATTGTCACCGACGAGCTACTTCCTTGAGCTGCGCGGCTGAGCGGAGTGATGCATTGTCGTCGTGGTGGTGGTGGCACGTGGTGTCGCGCCCGGTCTTCATCGTCGTTATAACTGTTCGTGGGGAAATCGTTTTCGCTGAACGCGAAACTTTTCGGGAACGCATCGAGATTAGGCTTAATGCGTTCCGATAGCATCGGAAGTTACCCCTTTTTTCACCCCCAAAAAACGTACTTTGTAATTTTTAAGCAATGGATATTAATACATCACGATACAAGCAACATTATGAACACGTAATATTAAAAGAAACGCGGTTAACCAATTCATATTTACTGTACCTACAACAGGAGAATGGTCGGTAAGCGAACACGTTGGGCTCTATGGAGGCACTACTACACACTGCAATACTACACACTACACTACACTATTATACACTACACTACTATACACTACAGTAAACTACACTATACACTACATTATACTGTACTACACACTACACTATAGTAAACTACACTATACACTACATTATACACTACACTCGTATACACTACAACACTATACACTACACTACTATACACTACAGTAAACTACACTATACACTACATTATTATACTGTACTACACACTACACTATACTACTATACACTACACTCCTATACACTACACTACTATACACTACACTATACACTTCACCACTATACACTAAACTACTATACACTACAGTAAACGACACTATACACTACATTATTATACTGTACTATACGCTACTATACACTACACTATACACTACGTATTGGGCTCTATGGAGGTCTGTCGTTAAGCGATTAGTCGTTAACAGGGGTGGTCGTTAAGGGGGGTTTTACTATACACTAAACTACTATACACTACAGTAAACTACACTATACACTACATTATTATACTGTACTATACACTACACTATACACTACGTATTGGGCTCTATGGAGGCCTGTCGTTAAGCGATTAGTCGTTAACAGGGGTGGTCGTTAAGATAATTTATACTGCAACTACAGCGTTAAAACGAGGAATTGCCGTCCACTGCCACGACTCCCTACGCCTCTGTATAAGGAAGGAAACGGGTGGACTTCTCAACAAATCTGGCTGTCGCCTGATGAAGCTAGTTGTAATTACTGGCGAAACGTCGTACTCAGATTGTAAATGTTGTGGCTTGGCTCTCCAACACACCGGGTGTGCTGTACTCGTACAAAAAACTGGCACGCTCTGTTTACGTGACAACCCTTACCAGTTGGCTGTGTCGGGTGGTGGCGGGTTTTAAACGACACAGCATTTATATATTTACGCAATTTAACCCGGAAAAAAAAACCTCTATTATGGACGATATTGGTCGCGAAAGCCTCCGTGTGAAACACGCTGCTCCCTGCTCTCTGGTATTTGTGGCCAGCATGCTGTGCCACGGACACGCGGTCAGTCAGCGGGGCCTCCAGTTGTACGTGCGTGCGTGGTGTTGAATCTCTTTCGCACACCGTAGGCAGCCCACCGTGCTAATCGGAGGTGCGGTAGAGTGGGCGGCTCGCAATGGCAACTGCTCAGCTCATCATTCCTCCCTGCGGGGTTGCCAAAATGAGGACAGGGACTCCTCTACTTACGAACGAGTCATGTTCCAGAGGCCCGTTCGTTAAGTCGATTTGTTCGTAAGTGCAACTTTGCTCCCGTCGATTCAAAACGTGTTGTACGGCGTGCACACTAAACACGGCGAGTGGCTTTAAAAGTTGTACAATCGCCTGTAGGTGTAGATGCCACCACCCCCCCCATCTATTGCGCGGCGGTTGAACTTACGACTCTCGGGTTTGAACAGGCAACTGGAGGTACGGGACGGGGTTTTTCTCGTATCTCTGAAAGTTCGTAAGTCGACTGTCCGTAAGTCGAGGAGTCCCTGTGCCACTTTGTGGGGTGGTCAGCAGCCGTCTTATGGGGAGGCTCGCCCACCGCCGCACGTGGAACGTGGAGTTTCCAACCACTGGCTGTAAACAGGAGATCAGAGCACCGATACCCATTGGAACAGGACGTCACTTTTGATTTTGTTTCCGTTATCGGCACGACGAAGCTTCTAGTGATGCTGTGGCTTTTCTTCTTCCTCCTCTTCCTCCTCCCGCTCACTCTGACCGTCTCCCTCCTCCTCCTCCTCGTCGAGGAAGTCTTCCCTGAGGTCGGCTGTTGTGGGACAGCGACAGTGAGAGAGAGAGAGAGCGGAGGAGATTCCACACCGTGGCGTCGTGCAGAAACGCTCGGGCGACGCTCGCACCTCCGATTAGCACGGTTGGCTACGTACGGTGCGAAAGAAGTTCAACGTACATACAGACGATGACATCCCTTGGTGACCCCGCGGTGACACGCATGCGCACGCACGCAAGCAAGTGGGCAGGTGAGTGCGTCGCCACACATTCGAGTGAGCGGTCGTTGATGTGGGCGGACGAGCGAGCGAGCGAGCGAGCGAGCGGGTGATTGTGTGAGCGAGTCATCAGGTGAGTGATTCAGCGGACGGGCGAGCGAGCGAGTGAGCGGGAGAGCGAAAACGTCAGTGGCTGAGCATGTGAGCGAATGAATAGGAGAGTGAGAATGGGCGAGTGAATGGGCAGGCAGGTGACTGCAAGTTGTTGGTGAGCAAGTGAATGAGTGAGCAAAGTGATTGAGCAAGAGAATGAGCGAGCGATCGAGTGGTGAATGAACAAGCGAGCGGCGAATGAGCGCTAAGCGGGAGCCACGGCCGAGCGAGCGGAGCGCTAGGGACCCATGGCCCCCCCGCCACCCCCCCCCCCCCCCCAGGGGTCCTCACCGAGCGCGCGAGCCCGCACGGTGAGCAGCACCTCGACGTTGCGTGCCCCGCCGAGGGCGCGCGTCAGCACGGCGCCCTCGCGCTGGAACACGAACACCAGCGGCAGCGCCGACAGCTCCTCCACGCCGGCGCCGTCCGCCGCCATCTGGAACGGCGCCGCCGTGTCGCTGCTGCTGCCCATTGTGTCGTCTGCATGGGGGGGGGGGGGGGCAGTGGTGAGGAGCGGTGAGGAGGAGCGGTGAGGAGGAGCGGTGAGGAGGAGCGGTGAGGAGCGCTTGGAGAGGGCTGGTGGCTGTGGCGCAGTTGCCGTGAAATTTTGCTCGAACACAACACTCAACCACTCACTCATTCAACCACTCACTCAACCAATCACTCACTCAATCACTCACTCATTCAACCACTCACTCAACCAATCACTCACTCAATCACTCACTCATTCAACCACTCACTCAACCAATCACTCACTCAATCACTCACTCATTCAACCACTCACTCAACCACTCACTCATTCAACCACTCATTCAACCACTCACTCAACCACTCACTCATTCAACCACTCACTCAACCACTCACTCATTCAACCACTCACTCAACCACTCACTCAACCACTCACTCACTCAACCACTCACTCAACCACTCACTCACTCAACCACTCACTCACTCAACCACTCATTCAACCACTCACCCACTCACTCACTCAACCACTCGCTCAACCACTCACTCAACCACTCACTCACTCAACCACTCGCTCACTCAACCACTCGCTCACACAACCACTCACTCAACCACTCACTCATTCAACCACTCAGTCAACCACTCGCTCAACCACTCACTCATTCAACCACTCACTTAACCACTCATTCAACCACTCACCCACTCACTCACTCAACCACTCGCTCAACCACTCACTCAACCACTCACTCACTCAACCACTCGCTCACTCAACCACTCACACACTCATCCACCCGGCCACCCACCCACGCACGCGCTCCCTCTCTCACTCACCTCTCCCAAGGGTTCCACAGCTGGATAAGACGACCTGATCGCCACCGGACGAGGCGAGCGATCCCTACGAGACGAGGGCCCGTCGCCCCGCTGACACCGAACACCGATCCACCGAGCGCCCGTTTGGCGAGCTACGAACCCCGTCGGCCGGAGCCGCGCCGCACCGACTCTCATAACGTGGCCGGGGGCGGGGGGTGGGGGGGGGGGAAGGGGTTGGGGGGGGGGGAGGCGTTGGGGGGCTTGCGACCCACCGATGACGATGCCCCCGCGGGCGCCGGCGTGCCGCAGGTTGCGCGCCTTCTCGGCGAACGTGCACTCCCCCCGGCGCACGAGCACCACGCGGGACGCCACCGCGGCGCCGTTGGACAGTGGCGAGCACGCAAGCGGGGGGTCGCTCAGTGCCAGCGAGCCCTTCACCTGCGAGGGGCGGGGGGGGGAGGAGGAGGGGGAGGAGGGGGAGGAGAAGAGTGACCGGTGGCTGTTGGAGGCTCCAGCAGTGGTTAAAGTGTCGGGGGGACGGCCGTCAGCGATCGTGAAAATTTAAAAATGCCCTCGCCGCATCCTCAATTCATTCATTCGACACTCGTTACCGCACGGAGGGCGTCGACATTTGGTGCGTTGGGGGCTCGCGAGTCGGAATGTTTCTCGCTTCAATGCGGGAAGGACACGCAAGTCGCCCTTCGCCCGCGCCTCCGGCCAGCACGGCTGGCTACGCACGGTGCGAAAGAAGTTCAACGCACGCACGCGCGCGTACAATTTCATCCGCCCAAATACGCCGCGCTGACACCCGTCCGAACAAACAAAAGCGTTCCATCGGGAAAACCCGGCAGCGGAGCCGGGGACGTTGGCGGCTCTCGACGCGGCTGGCGGGGGGGTGGGGGTGGGTGGGGGGGGGTGGGGGGTGTGGGGGGGATGGGGGGGGGGGCGCCGAGAGCAACCCACCCCGTGCTGCTCCTTGGCCAGGTCCAGGCCGAACTGTGCCGGAGCCGCAGACAGAACCACGCGGCCCAGGAACGGCGGCGACACGAGCTGCACGGCCCGCGCCGGCGTGAACCGCCGGTGCTCCGCCATGTCCCGCATGAACCGCGCGCCGTCCTCCGCCAGGCGCCCGCTCTCGGCCTGCGCGCGCCGCGCAAAGACCACGGCAACCCTGGAGCGGCGGCGGCCGCCGGCCAACCACCGCCTCGTGCGCCGTGCCGGCCTTCGTTGGCGCCAGCCGCTAACAGCGCTTGTGCCCGCCGTTACGGGGGGGGGGGGGGGGGGGGATCTTTGTCCTTGTCCTGTCTCGCTGTCTACGTGGAGCTGCGTATGTGCGGCCGTGTCTAGGTGCGGCCGTGTCTCGCCGTGTCTTGCCGTGCCTGCGTCTCGCTGCGCCACGCTGTGTCTGTGTCTCGGGGTGTGTGTATCTCGCCGTGTCTGTGTCTCGCTGCGTCTCGCGCTGACGGGCTGCGTCTCCCTGCGGCTGCGTCTCGCCGTGTCTGTGTCTTGCTGCGTCTCGCTGCGTCTTGCTGTATCACGCTGTCTCTGTGTCTTGCTGTGTCTTGCTGTGACTGTGATGGGTTGCTTCTCGCCGTGTCTGCGTCCCGCTGCGTCGCGCTGTGCCACGTTGTGTGTGTGTCTCGGGGTGTGTGTATCTCGGGGTGTGTGCATCTCGGGGTGTGTGTATCTCGGGGTGTGTGTATCTCGGGGTGTGTGCATCTCGGGGTGTGTGCATCTCGGGGTGTGTGTATCTCGGGGTGTGTGCATCTCGGGGTGTGTGCATCTCGCTGCGCCTTTGTTTTGTCGCGTCTCGCCGCGTCTCGCCGCGTCTCGCCGTGTCTGCGGTGCGGTGCGGCGTGGCCGCGCGAGAGCGCCGTACGCGCCGCTCGTTGTGGTGGAGCTGCATGCGCCCGTCAGGCAGCCCCTCCAGCGCGATGCCCATCCTCCGCAGGGCCTCCAGCTGCTGCACGCTGCCCGGGTCGAACCCCGCGGCGCTCGGCGGACCCGGACCCTCCGCCATCGCCGCCGGCCTGGCACGCGCGCGGCAACGGGCGGAGGAAGAGCGTGTTGGCCGCGGCCGGGAATCGGATTCGGTTCTTCGGGTTCACCGCGCAATGCGCTCAACTAGCAAACCATTAAACTATATTTACTTTACTAGTTTCAGGCGCACTGAGCTATGTAGCCCTTTTTCAGAAGCGACCTGGGCCATCGCCAATGATGGCTCAACGAAGTGGGCTTATCATCGTCGCGTGGAAATTTAAAGCGGCCAAATACTCCAAACGCGCGACGTTGATTCTAAATGTGGAGGGAATAACCGGAGGATCTGGATAAAAATCCACACGACCACGGAGAGAGAGAGACACGCAAACTCCAAATATAAAGCAGGCATCAGGGTCGGGATCGAACCCACGACCTCCTGTATACCTGGCGAGGTAGTTAACATCTCCTAGCCGCCGTGGCGCCCCTTAACCACTCACAAGGCCCAGCTGCAGCTCCTCTCAGATCAGGTGGTCGAGAGGGGTGGGGGGGGGGGGGGCAGCACTATAGCAGTGATTCACTGCCAACGAGGGTGAACTTGGCCAAAGGGGACATTTGGCGGTGCAGGCCCCACGCTGGCGGCCCGATCGCGCCAGGCCCTGCCGCACTGCCCCGCCCCCACCGCCCCCACCGCCCCCACCCCCCCCCCCCCGAGTCAGGAGCAACGGAGTGGCGTGCGACGGCTCACGGAGAGGAGTGTCCGTCCGAGGGGGGCGCCCCGTCCCGCCCCCCGCCGCCGTGCAGGTTCCTGTAGGAGCGGCGGATGGCGCCGGCGAAGTCGTCACCGCCGGGCAGCGTCTCCCGCACGTTGGGACACGTCCACGCGGGGCCCCCTCCGTGCCACGTGGCCTGGGGTGGGGGGAGGGGGGGGGCACACGCGTGGCAGCGTCCGGCACACCACGTCGAGTATACCTCCTGGCTGTGGCTACCAGTTGCGTGCCACCTGCTGCGGTCTACCCGGCGACACAGAAATTATTCCCGTAACCCGGCTCACAACACATCCAGTAATAAACCCCTTGCCGTATCTGAGGCCGAGTCGACCTAGGGGGAGGCCACCCAGGACTGGTTCAGATAATAATCGTCACCGGTGGTGGCCGTGAGCGGGAACTGAACTCGGGTCGCCGGGATAGGAACGCAAGCGCGCCGACCGCCGACGGTAGAGCTCCCCCACCAAACAGCACCACAGCGCCCGGCTGTGACAATCTCCCAGGGTATAAGCCGAACCGACACGCGGCCAATGATGTTTACTGGGGCGGATTGTCCTACGCCACCCGGACGAATATCCGTACCATTTGCGGGGCGCGTGGGAAAGTTCAATGAGAGGCCACAACATGAAAGGATCTCGGAAGCTGTGATTTACTACGACTACTATTTTGCTGCTTACCAGGTGAGGCCCAGAAGCGTCCTGGCTATCACAAATGATAGCTCAACGAAGTGGCTTATCGCGTGCAAATTGAGAGCAGCAGCCAAATACTCTAAACGTGTGATGTCGATTCTAAACGTGGGGAAAAAACAGGGGGACACGGGGAAAATTCCCTACGACCACAGGAAGAGAGAGAGACACCGCAAACTCCAAATATACAGCAGCAGGCGTCAGGGTCGGGATCGAACCCACGACCTCCTCTACACCAGGCGAAGTAGTTAACATCTCCTAGCCACCGTGATGATGATGAGAGAGAGAGACACGCAAACTCCAAATAAACAGCAGGCGTCAGGGTCGAGATCGAACCCACGACCTCCTGTACACCAGGCGAAGTAGTTAACATCTCCGAGCCACCGTGGCGATGATGTCTCACCGTCTCATGGCACGACGCGAAATTTAAATACAATTGGGAGGTGTAAAAAAAGAAACCGTCTGGCATTTTGCCGCCACCTGCCCATCACTCCCCCCCCACCCCCCCTTTTACCTCCGTATCATTTCCCGCCGCCCTTTGACCTCGTCGCCCCTTTGCGGGCCCTCCGTGACCCCAACGATCCCGCCGGAGCCTCCCCCGCAGTGGCGGCAGGCCGAGGGGCAGCAGGTGAGCCTCCGTGGTGAAGACGAACGCTCCCAGGTCAAAGGGCACGTCGGCGTCGTCCGTGAAGAGCAGGTACAGGTACTTGAAAGTCTCCGCCAGGAAGTAGGAATCCATCCTGGCGAATTGTTCCAACATTGAAAGCCGTTGGGTTTGCCGAGCACAGGCCTGCAGCGGTGTTGGCGACAAATGGAACTCGCGATGCCTCGCGTGAGCGTGACCCCTCCCTCACCTGTCCCCACGCGACCTCGTGATCCCACGTGTGGATTAACGTGACCCCTCCCTCACCTGTCCCCACGCGACCTCGTGACCCCACGTGTAGATTAACATGACCCCCCCTCACCTGTCCCCAAGCGACCTCGTGACCCCACGTGTGGATTAGCGTGACCCCTCACCTGTCCCCACGCGACCTCGTGACCCCACGTGTAGATTAGCGTGACCCCCCACCTGTCCCCAAGCGACCTCGTGACCCCACGTGTGGATTAACGTGACCCCTCCCTCACCTGTCCCCACGCAACCTCGTGACCCCACGTGTAGATTAACGTGACCCCCCACCTGTCCCCACGCGACCTCGTGACCCCACGTGTAGATTAACACGCGCTCCCACACCTGTCCCCACGTGACCTCGTGACCCCACGTGTGGATTAGCGGGGCCCCCGACCTGCCGGGTACAGACCCGAGACCCTTTCGGGGACCGGTAGTGTAGCGGTTAGCGTGTTCACATTCTTTGGGTCTTTCGGTAAAGTCACGTAGATAGGTTCAAAGAAAATAACAACAAAAAATAACAAAAAACTACGACGTTTCGATCGCAACGCAAGCGGTCGTCATCAGGAAAAGGGGGTGACGACCGCTTGTGCTGCGATCGAAACGTCGTAGTTTCTTGTTCTCTTCTTTGTTCTTTTCTTTGAACCTATCTACGTGACTTTACGGAAAGACCCAAAGAATATTAATTCCTGCAGTCACGAAAGCTTTAAGTCAAGGGTTAGCGTGTTGCGCTACGGTGACCCGGGTCACCAACATCAAAGACAATTATCTGAACCGGTCCTGGGCCTCCCCTAGGTCGCCTCAGCCTCAAATGAGTACCTGCTGCGGTGCGTGAATATCACCACTTGCCCCCACAGTCCGTTAAAGGCTATACTGGGGGGGGGTGGATCTTTGTCTTTCATCTTTGTCACAGCCCCGGCCTAAAAGGCTTTCCCATTTAGACGTGGTGGTGATGTCATCGCCGGGAGCGGGGGCCCCTTTTTATCACTGCCCCCCCCCCCACGTGACCCCGCGCGGGTCGGTCTGACCGCCGCCCCCCCTGACCTGTCCTCGTGCGTCCCCGTGCGGACGTCCCGCACGCCGGCGAACCCGCACGGCACACGTGCGTGGGCGTTGAGGTTGTCCACGATGGAGCGGCCGACCTCTAAGTAGTGCGGGTCTCCCGTCGCCTTCGTCACGACCACGCACACACGCACGCACGCACACACACACCGTCTGCGGCCGAAAGCATTGTGAACACGAGCAGCCGCCAAGACGAGAGAGAGCGAGCACGAGTTAAAGAGAGAGGCAAAGAGAGAGCGAGAGAAGAGGGAGAGAGAGAGACGCCGTGAACGTGGCGTGGTTGGGGTGTCCCCCCGGGCCTCACCTTGAACAGGAAGTAGGTGCTCTCGGCAAACTCGGGCCTCACCTTGAACAGGAAGTAGGTGCTCTCGGCAAACTCGGGCCTCACCTTGTACAGGAAGTAGGTGCTCTCGGCAAACTCGGGCCTCACCTTGAACAGGAAGTAGGTGCTCTCGGCAAACTCGGGTCTCACCTCGTACAGGAAGTAGGTGCTCTCGGCAAACTCGGGTCTCACCTTGAACAGGAAGTAGGTGCTCTCGGCAAACTCGGGTCTCACCTTGAACAGGAAGTAGGTGCTCTCGGCAAACTCGGGTCTCACCTCGTACAGGAAGTAGGTGCTCTCGGCAAACTCGGGTCTCACCTTGAACAGGAAGTAGGTGCTCTCGGCAAACTCGGGTCTCACCTCGTACAGGAAGTAGGTGCTCTCGGCAAACTCGGGCCTCACCTCGTACAGGAAGTAGGTGCTCTCGGCAAACTCGGGTCTCACCTTGAACAGGAAGTAGGTGCTCTCGGCAAACTCGGGTCTCACCTCGTACAGGAAGTAGGTGCTCTCGGCAAACTCGGGCCTCACCTTGTACAGGAAGTAGGTGCTCTCGGCAAACTCGGGCCTCACCTTGTACAGGAAGTAGGTGCTCTCGGCAAACTCGGGCCTCACCTTGAACAGGAAGTAGGTGCTCTCGGCAAACTCGGGCCTCACCTCGTACAGGAAGTAGGTGCTCTCGGCAAACTCGGGCCTCACCTCGTACAGGAAGTAGGTGCTCTCGGCAAACTCGGGCCTCACCTTGTACAGGAAGTAGGTGCTCTCGGCAAACTCGGGCCTCACCTTGTACAGGAAGTAGGTGCTCTCGGCAAACTCGGGCCTCACCTTGAACAGGAAGTAGGTGCTCTCGGTAAACTCGGGCCTCACCTTGTACAGGAAGTAGTTGCTCTCGGCAAACTCGGGCCTCACCTTGAACAGGAAGTAAGTGCTCTCGGCAAACTCGGGCCTCACCTTGAACAGGAAGTAGGTGCTCTCGGCAAACTCGGGCCTCACCTTGAACAGGAAGTAAGTGCTCTCGGCAAACTCGGGCCTCACCTTGAACAGGAAGTAGGTGCTCTCGGCAAACTCGGGCCTCACCTTGAACAGGAAGTAGGTGCTCTCGGTAAACTCGGGCCTCACCTTGAACAGGAAGTAGGTGCTCTCGGCAAACTCGGGTCTCACCTTGTACAGGAAGTAGGTGCTCTCGGCAAACTCGGGCCTCACCTTGAACAGGAAGTAAGTGCTCTCGGCAAACTCGGGCCTCACCTTGTACAGGAAGTAGGTGCTCTCGGCAAACTCGGGCCTCACCTTGTACAGGAAGTAGGTGCTCTCGGTAAACTCGGGCCTCACCTTGAACAGGAAGTAGGTGCTCTCGGCAAACTCGGGCCTCACCTTGTACAGGAAGTAGGTGCTCTCGGCAAACTCGGGCCGGAGGGGGTGCTGAGGCCAGTGCACATGCAACTCCGTCGTGAAGGCCTGCACACGCACACGTACACACACACATACACGTACACACACATACACACACATACACGCATACATACACACACATGCACACACACACACATACACACACACACACAAAGATCAAAGATCCCCCGTATAGCCTTAACAGGGGCAAGTGCTGTTAGCGAGTACCTATGAAGGCCGGCACAGCGCACGAGGGGGTGGATGGCCAGCACCAAGCTGGACCGCCTTTGTCTCCCGAGTGGCAATGTTTTTATCCACCGCACCAGCTACTCATTTGAGGCTGAGTCGACCTAGGGGAGGCCCAGGACCGGTTCAGATAATGGTCACAGGTGTTGGTGGCCGTGAGGAGAGGAAATCGAACTCCCTGTTTGTACTGCTGCGTCAGGCAGAATGCCATCACCGCAACCACCACGCGCGCTTGTGCCAGGCTAGGTGCGCTCTTTTGAGGTCGTGCCGCGTCTGTGCCGCGTCTGTGCCATTGGCACCGGCACGGAAGCGCGCGGTGCGCTACCCCTGGCGAGTGGGGCCACTGCGAGCGACCTCTGGGAGGAAGTGATGTCGCTGGGTCAGCTGGTACAGCATCTCGTGGGTCTCGATGGCCGGCCGGAGGTCGCCCTTGAGGACCTGCGACACAAACGATGCCACTGAACGACGGCGAGGTCAGGGGGCGCGGACGTTCGACGATTTAAAACGAGGTGATTGTAATCCTGCCGCACGCTCACTCACCCGCCTTGTCACCCCCTCGCTCACTCACTCACTCGCCTTGCCGCCCGCTCGCTCGCTCGCTCGGTCACTCACTCGCCCGCCCGCATTACCACTCTTGCTCCCGCTCACTTGCTCACTCAGCCTCTCGCTTTGCCACTCACTCACTCGCAAGCTCGTCGCACCCACTCACTGCGCTCAGCAACTCACCCATTCGCCTACCCTCTTACTATCTCGCTCACTCTCTAGCCCACTCGCTGGAGAGCTCACTCACTTCACGCTCTCACTCACCAACTTCTCTTCCACCCTTCCACCTCCTCACTTGCTCGCCCACTTAATCTCCCAACTGCTCACTCATTCTCCCACCCGCTGGTCCACTCCCTCGCTCACTCTCCCACGTGCTCACTCACTCGCTCGCTCACCCTCCCATGTGCTCACTCGCTCGCTCAATCATTCCACGTGACCACTTGCTCGCTCGTTTGCTCACCCTCCCAAGTGCTCACTCGCCCTCTCGCTCACTCACTCTCCTGCTCGCCCACTCGCTCGCCCACACACCCACTTGCTGGCTCACTCACTTCCCACGTCCTCGCTCGCCCACTCTCCCGCTCACCTCACCCGCCCACCCGCTCGCCCGCCCGGCTGCTTGCTCACTCGCTCGCCCACCTGCAGGCCTGGGAAGAATGCGAGCAGGGCGTCCATCCAGCCGCGCGCCGCCACTTCCGGCTCGTGCATGTGGACGTCGAGCAGCAGGGGCGGCTGGCTCACCCAGCGCATGATGGACGCGTAGTGCTGCGTGCACGTGCGTCCGTCCGCGCATCCGTGCGTGCGCCCATATTCACCCACGTGCGCAAGATTGATCGGTCGATCGGTAGGTCGACCGGTTAATGGCACACGCCGAGACGGTGGAGGGAGTGTGGGGGGGGGGAGGGGGGGGCGACAATGGTGACGGCAGCCGGTGTCAAACCGTAAAAAAACGGGGAAGGGTCGTCCGAAAACAAGGAAGAAGAATCGTGAATGCGCACGGATTCCGCAGCGGTTCCTAACGCGTGTTTTAATTAGCGATCAGCAAAGTCCGTAGGCGTCTCGGGTCACTCCCCAAGAGCAGCGCAGACTTCACACTGGGGTCATCGTGACCCCCCCCCCCCGCGTTGCAAATGGACCGACACGCGGACGGACGCGTGTGGCCGGCTCTGCCTGGGGTTGGTCCCGAGCAGCGACAGGAGCGTTTCATTCGAATTGGAGCGATTATACGACAGTCCGCAATAGCAACACGGTTTCACGCTGCGGCTTTTTGCGCACACTGGATCATGTCTGGGGGTAACGCCCTCACACGAAAGCTTCGTTCCTATTGGATGATCCGTAAATCTAAACTGGGCATCCGTAGCTCGTCGGATTCCTCCAGCGCGAACAAATGTTCTCGATTCCGACAGCGACCGTGCAGACGGACAGGCGGAGGCACGCGGGCAGGGCTGCTGCCGCGCGGTGCCCTCGCTTTCAACCTCAGCTCTGCAGAGCGTTACAAACAGGGACGCCGTGACACGTATGCTCCTCTCTGCGCGTGCCTCCGCGCGGGGGGGGGGGGGGGGCTCGAGGGGGGGGGGGGGCTCGGGGAGTTCGGGGGGGTTGTTCGTCACTCACGGCGTTGAAGCGGAGGAGGAGCTCCTCGTCTCCCAGCAGGACGTAGGCCTTGAGCAGGTACTCGTAGTACGAGTCGATCCCGGCGCCCACGCCGCTGTCTGCAACACGCGCGCACGCGCACACATAAAGATGAGACGAAGATCCCCCGTGTAGCCTTAACAGACTGTAGGGGGCAAGTGCTGTTAGCGAGCACCTATGAAGGTCGGAACGGTACACGAGGGGGTGGGTGGTCAGCACCACGCCCGACCGCCTTTGTCTCCCCAGTGGCGATGTTTACACACCGCACCAGGTACTCATTTGAGGCTGAGTCGACCTAGAGGAGGCCCAGGACCGGTTCAGATAATCGTCACTGGTGTTGGCCGTGAGCGGGAATCGAACCCGGGTCACCGGGTTCATAGCGCAGAGAGGACGACTCAGAGAGAGAGAGAGGACGACTCAGAGAGAGAGAGGACGACTCAGAGAGAGGACAACTCAGAGAGAGAGAGGACGACTCAGAGAGAGAGAGGACGACTCAGAGAGAGAGGGGACGACTCAGAGAGAGAGGACGACTCAGAGAGAGAGAGGGGACGACTTAGAGAGAGAGGACGACTCAGAGAGAGAGAGAGGACGACTCAGAGAGAGAGAGAGGATGACTCAGAGAGAGAGGACGACTCAGAGAGAGAGGACGACTCAGAGAGAGAGGGGACGACTCAGAGAGAGGACGACTCAGAGAGAGAGAGGACGACTCAGAGAGAGAGGGGACGACTCAGAGAGAGGACGACTCAGAGAGAGAGGACGACTCAGAGAGAGAGAGTGGAGACGACTCAGAGAGAGAGGACGACTCAGAGAGAGAGAGGACGACTCAGAGAGAGAGAGAGAGAACGACTCAGAGAGAGAGAGAGAGAGGATGACTCAGAGAGAGAGAGAGAGGACGAATCAGGGAGAGAGGACGACTCAGAGAGAGAGAGAGCACGACTCAGAGAGAGAGGACGACTCAGGGAGAGAGAGAGGACGACTCAGAGAGAGAGAGAGGACGACTCAGAGAGAGAGAGAGGACGACTCAGGGAGAGAGAGAGGACGACTCAGAGAGAGAGGACGACTCAGAGAGAGAGAGAGAGAGGACGAATCAGAGGCGCCAGGACGAGGGACCACGTACAAGGAGCAGGAAGGCAGCAGTAGCCACGTGGTGGTGAGGAGGAGCCGACGCTACCAGGAATTTTCCGAGCTCTGCATTTAGAAATATGCATTTAAAATATTTACGTAATTTGGCTGCTATAAATCTCCACGTGATAAGCCAATTCGTTGACGTATTATCATGTGTGGCTAGGTCGCTTGTGAAAAAGAAGTTAATAGCAAAGCGGGCTTTACCTGGTTAGATAAAAAAAATATCTACAATTTATTTGTATATTTTGCACTCCGATCGTGTTTTTTTGTATTGTTTGTTGTTGTAAACTTTTGACCCCTTGGCCCTACTGGACATCTGTGAAATAAGAGCTTCATAGCTCATCGGATTCCTTCCAGCATAAACAAATATTCCGACTCTGACATCACGATGCTTTCGGCCACTTAACGAGCGTGGGAGGAAAACCGGAGAAAAGGATAACCCGCGCGTGCGAGGGTGCAACACTCTATCCCGCGCAGACGGAGGCACGCACCGCGGCGAACCCACTCCCCCGTGTGGATGTTGATGACGGTGCCCACGAGGTCGCTGCTCCTCTCCCGCCGCTCCCACAGGAAGTCCAGCGCGCGGCGCGCTCGCTCCTGTACGGGGTGGGGCCGGGGGTGGGGTGGGGGGCATTCCAAAGACAAAGGTCCCCCGTGTAGTCTCTAACAGACTGTTCGGGGCAAGTGCTGTTAGCGAGTGGCACCTATGAAGTTAAAGTTCCACCCCCCCCCCCCCCCCCCCCCTCCCCACGCATCCGATAATTAGCGAAAATCACTGGCGCTACAACTATCGCTCCCCAAAGACAAAGATCCCCAGTCCCGCACCCCACCCTGGAGTCGAACCTCGAACTCGGGCTCCCCGGTGAGCCGGCTGAGCGCCGCGAACTCCAGGATGAAGGAGCCAGCGCACGCCGTGCAGGTGGCCTCCTCCGCGCCGGCGCCGCTCTCCCCGCCGGCGACACCGTGGGCGAGGTTCACCTGTGCAGCGCCGCCACAGACTCTCGTTCGCTCGCTCGCGCGACGATCCCGTGCGATGATGATGGCGGTGATAGCTCATCGTCGTCGAAGTGGCCGACCGTCATCGTCGTCGTCGTCACACGTGGGGGAATTTAAAGTAGGAGGGCCCCGGAGAACAATCCACGTGGCCACCGTCACAGGGAGAGAGAGGGCAGGCGGACTCCACTCTCACTCTCTCTCACTCTCTCTCTCACACTCAATTACTCACTCTCTCACACTCACTCTCTCATTCTCTCTCACACTCTCTCACACTCAATTACTCTCTATCACTCTAACTCTCTCTCACACTCAATTACTCACTCTCACACTCACTCTCTCACTCACACTCTCACACTCAATTACTCTCTATCACTCTTACACTCACTCACTCTCTCTCACTCAATCACTCGCTCTCTCTCTCACACTCAATTACTCTCTATCACTCTTACACTCACTCACTCTCTCTCACTCACTCACTCTCTCACACTCAATTACTCTCTATCACACTCACTCTCTCTCACTCTCTCTCTCACTCACTCTCTCTCTCTCACTCTCTCTCTCTCTCTCACTCACTCACTTACTCTCTATCACTCTCACACTCAGTCACTCACTCTCTCTCACTCACTCACCCTCACTCTCTCACTCACTCACTCTCACTCACTCACTTTCTCACACTCAATTACTCTCTATCACTCACACTCACTCTCTCTCACTCACTCACTCTCTCTCACTCACTCTCTCACTCACTCAATTACTCTCTATCACTCTCACACTCACTCACTCTTTCTCACTCACTCACTCTCTCTCACTCACTCTCTCACACTCAATTACTCTCTATCACTCTCACACTCACTCACTCTCTCTCACTCGCTCACTCACTCACTCTCTCACTCACTCACACTCTCACACTTACTCACGCTCTCACACTCTCTCTCACTCACTCTCTCCTACTCACTCACTCTCTCACAGTCACTCACTCTCTCACACTCACTCTCTCTCACTTATGCTCTCACTAACACTCTCACACTCACTCACGCTCTCACACTCACTCTCTCACACTCACTCTCTCACAGTCACTCACTCTCTCACACTCATTCTCTCACACTCACTCACTCTCTCACACTCACTCACTCTCTCTCACTCACGCTCTCACTCACTCAATTACTCTCTATCACTCTCACACTCACTCACTCACGCTTTCTCACTCACTCACTCACTCTCCCTCTCTCACTCACACTCTCACACTTACTCACGCTCTCACACTCTCTCTCACTCACTCTCTCCCACTCACTCACTCTCTCACAGTCACTCACTCTCTCACACTCACTCTCTCTCACTTATGCTCTCACTCTCACTAACGCTCTCACACTCACTCACGCTCTCACACTCACTCACTCTCTCACAGTCACTCACTCTCTCACACTCACTCTCTCACACTCACTCACTCTCTCACACTCACTCACTCACGCTCTCACTAACGCTCTCACACTCACTCACGCTCTCACACTCACTCACTCTCTCTCACTCACACTCTCACACTCACTCTCATTCACACTCTGCAGAACAAGCGGGAGAACATGCGAACTCCAAACATACAACAGGCGTCGCCAGGGTCCGGGATACAACCCACGACTACCTGTATACCAGGCGAGGTAGTTAACATCTCGTCACTCGCTCCCAAACAAACATTTTTTGTTACACGAGTTGCGGGGGGGGGGGGGGGGCGGTGCGGTGGGAAAGCGGCGCATCCCGGCGCCGTATCTTTCTGCGGACAGCGCCGGGCACGCGTGTACACGTGCATATACACGGCGCGCGTGTACAGGCGCACGTGTACGCAGCGCACGCGTACAGGCGCGCACGTACAGGCGCACGTGTACGCGGCGCCGCGTACCCGAGGGTGGGGGAGGCCGCTGCTCGTGTTGAATGCCGGCAGGAGTCTCCGGCCTAGCTCGGAGGCCATGAGCAGCAGCTCGTCGCGGTACCACGCCATGTGGCCGCCCCCCTTCCCGCGCAACATGGCCGCCATCACGTGACCTCCCAGGAGGCCCCTTGGGGGGGGGAAAGCGGAGGAAGGGGTGGCAGATTGGGGGGGGGGGGGGCAGGCATCACAAGGGTACAGGTGGAGAAGGGGTAGGGAGAGTATTAGGAGAGTGTAAGGGAAATTCATCGTGACGCATCACACAACAGAGCAGAGTAAATTTATAACAATGTATTATGTAGCCAAACTTCCAAGAGGTGCGAGGGAAGCACAACAAACTAAACGCAAAAATAAGTTCTGAAGAAATGAGTCTTCAATCTAAATTTAAAAGTGCATAGCTACAGCGGCTTCCTAACATCGGAAGAGCGTTCCAGATGGCCGCAGAAGGGCATCTGGAAGCGTGCGATCCGGTGACCAGCTTAAATCGACGGCCACTAATGCGAGGATGACCAGAGTTTGTATGATGGTTTACGTTGGGAAGACCGACACTTTTAACGCACCACACCCAACATTATTATAATCTGGCATGTATGGTGGTCACCCAACCGACTGCTCAGAGCCCGATGAAGATTCTTGATGGCCCTAGGCCTTCAGTGGTAACTCTCCAGAGTTGGGGCCGCTGCTGCCCCATGTCACGGGCTACCGCCGCTCTCACTCCGCTTGCTTCACGCGGTACTTCGTCCGGCCGCTGGACAGATCGGCCAACCATAGGACAACAAAGCCACCTTGTCTTCCCTTGCACTGCACGCTATTGAGAATGAGGTTGTGCGGGAAAAACACCACCTGAAGATGTTTACGTGATAATTTTGCTATGAAAAAAAACGCGCAAAGTGCATCTCCGGTGTTAATTTATTTCCCGCCTTAAGAAAAAAAAAACAATTGGCATGACTCTGTCTCTTGGCATGCACAGTGCGCCTATTCCTTGCTGTAAAAATATATTTGTTCAAGAAGACAGCTTGGTCATATTTTTGTATCGTGCAAGCAATAAAAAAAATACGCGGTCAATTGTTTTCCGCAGGCCCTTTAGTTTTCATAGGCCCGAGGCGCAGGTGCCCGCTGTAGCCTATTGGATGATGCGGCACTGCGACCGCTCTCCAGGCTCGAGACAGGCGGCCGCAAGAAGCGCATCTGAAAGCGTGCGATGCGGTAAACCGACTCTGTTTAACACGTAGGCTTTCGCGACCAATATTATTCATAATAAAGGTTTTTGGGTTAGATCGCGTTTATTTACTTGCCTCGAGCACATTAAAACCATCCTTTTGGTTTAGATATGTGGATGACACTTTGGTTGTCTGGCCACATGGTAAAGATACACTTAATGATTTTCTAAATCATCTCAATGCACAAAACCCGGCCATCCAGTTCACCATGGAAATGGAGGTGAATAACACACTCCCATTCCTAGATATTTTGCTTGGACATGGCCTAAACGGTAAAATAACACAGCGTTTACAGAACGCAAACGCACACTGATGCCTATCTGAATGCAGAATCACATCATCATCCAGCTCAGAAATCCTCTCTTATCAAGACGCTCATACATCGGGCTAAAACAGTGTCAGATGGTGAGAGTCTAGTGAGAGAGATTAAGCACGTTAAAGACGCACTACGACAGAATGGCTACAATAATGCTCAAATTAACAGAGCACTGAATGCCAAATCACGATCGCAAAGCAATACTGCTGAAAGCGACCAGATTGTTAAAACAATAAAAATTCCATATATCTCAGGAGTAACTGACAAATTAGCCGGTGTTTTGCAAAAGCAAAACATTACAGTAAGATTTGGTACAGTACACAAAATTCAAAAACTAGTATCTTGCACTAAAGACGCATTACCTAAATTATCAACAGAAGGTGTATATCGGATTAATTGTTTATGTGGCAGCTGCTACATTGGGCAGACGGGACGTAACATCAGTGTAAGACTAAAAGAACATCAGAGAAATATTAAATTATCTCAAACACAACTGTCGGCAGTGGCAGAACATGCTTGTCAACAAGGACACTCAATTGATTTTGACAATGTTGCAGTGGTGTGTAAAACTAATTATTACTGGCAAAGACTAATTAGAGAATCCATTGAAATTGAGAGGAACAAGAATAACTTTAATCGCTCTGACAGCCACAGGCTTAGTGCGGCCTGGAAGCGTATTATTAAATAATACACATTACATTTTGATTAAAGAATTACTAATCTACAACTCATTACTAATCATAACCAATGACTGATTACTAATCGATTATATAATTACAATACCCCCCCCTCCGCCTCTAATCACTGCACCTGATATGAGTTAAGTGATGACATCACCCTGCTGATCTATATAAAACCGGGAGCAAGCGAGGGCTTTACCATTCTGGCGAATTGCCTGATGATGCTGGATGTATTTACCAGCGAAACGTCGTACTCAAACTGTAAATGTTGCGGATTCACTCTTCAACACACCGGTGGGCTAAAGTAGTGAATTATTTGTTTTTTGTCAACGTGACACTTTTTTTGCTGATTGGCCGTGTCGGGTGGTGGAGGGTTACGACACATTTATAAATAAACGCGATCTAACCCAAAAACCTTTATTATGAATAAACCGACTCTGTTCGACGGCCGGAATGGTGGCAACGGCGATGGAACGGCGACAACTGAGACGGCGACGATTTTGCAAGATGCCGTCGGGACGACGCTCACCCCAGCGCCCGTATGTTCGCCTCGAAGACGGACACGACGATATCGCTGTCCAGACGCACGGTGCTGAGCACCTTGCGCACGGCTCTGTCGAACTCCTCCAGCCGATCCAGCACCTGCGGAGACGCCGCCGCCACCGCCGGCGGCGCCACCACCACACGGACACGCGGTCAGTCAGCCGAGCCTCCGGTTGTACGTACACGTGCGTTCATAATACACGTGTACGTACAAACTGTACACGTGTGTGTACGTTGAACCTCTTTCGCACCGTACGTAGCTAACCGTGCTAATCGGAGGTGCGGGATGACAAAAAATTATGGGTCTCTGTGTGAGTCTATGGGTCTCTGTGTTAGGCTATGGGTCTATGTGTTAGTCTATGGGTCTTTGTGTTAGTCTATGGGTCTTTGTGTTAGTCTATGGGTCTCTGTGTGAGTCTATGGGTCTCTGTGTGAGTCTATGGGTCTCTGTGTTAGTCTATGGGTCTCTCTGTGAGTCTATGGGTCTCTGTGTTAGTCTGTGGGTCTCTCTGTGAGTCTATGGGTCTCTGTGTTAGTCTATGGGTTTCTGTGTTAGTCTATGGGTCTTTGTGTGAGTCTATGGGTCTCTCTGTGAGTCTATGGGTCTCTGTGTGAGTCTATGGGTCTCTGTGTGAGTCTATGGGTCTCTGTGTAAGTCTATGGGTCTCTGTGAGTCGATGGGTCTCTGTGTGAGTCTACGTATGTTGAACTTCTTTCGCACCGTACGTCGCTAACCGTCCGAATCGGAGGTGCGGGGGAAGGACAACAATCTAAACACAAAAAGCAGTTTTAAAGGACTGAGTTTTCAATCCAGATTTAAAGTATGTAAGTTCTCACCAGGTATGCCGTAGCACCACAGCGGTCGGCAACCTGCGGCTCCGGAGCCGCATGCGGTGGCTCCTTAGGGACCGCAATTCGAAGTAAATGTCTCTTCTTGTTACTTTGGTTGCCGACCCGTGACCACGGGAGTCCAGTTTACCACGGGAGTCCAGTTTACCACGGGAGTCCAGTTTACCGTGGGAGTCCAGTTTACCATTGGAGCCCAGTTTACCGTGAGAGTCCAGTTTACCATGGGAGTCCAGTTTACCACTGGAGTCCAGTTTACCATGGGAGTCCAGTTTACCATGGGAGTCCAGTTTACCATGGGAGTCTAGTTTACCATGCGAATCCAGTTTACCATGGGAGTCCAGTTTACCATGGAAATCCAATTTACCATGTAAATCCAGTTTACCGTGGGAGTTCAGTTTACCGTGGGAGTTCAGTTTACCATGGAAGTCCAGTTTACCATGGAAGTCCAGTTTACCATGGAAGTCCAGTTCACCATGGAAGTCCAGTTTACCATGGAACTCCAGTTTACCGTGGGAGTCCAGTTTACCATGGAAGTTCAGTTCACCATGGGAGTCCAGCTTACCATGGAAGTCCAGTTTACCATGGGAGTCCAGTTTACCATGGGAGTCCAGTTTACCATGGAAGTCCAGTTTACCATGGAAGTTCAGTTCACCATGGAAGTTCAGTTCACCGTGGAACTCCAGTTTACCGTGGGAGTCCAGTTTACCATGGAAGTTCAGTTCACCATGGAAGTTCAGTTCACCATGGAAGTCCAGTTTACCATGGAAGTTCAGTTCACCATGGAAGTCCAGTTTACCATGGGCAGGGGTCGGCAAACCTGCGGCTCCGTATCCGCATGCGGCTCATTAAGGACTGCTGCTTCGTGACAGTTATTTATTAAGGACCCACCGTCTCGTATTCACCACGTGGCATTGCGGCTCTTAAAATGTGTATCATCTTTTTTTTACCGAATTCGAAAATAATGGCTCTTTTTGTTGCTTTAGTTGCCGACCCACTGCCCTAGTAGGCCGCTGGTAGACTCAGGGTGGGTGCCACGTGCAGTGTCGCCATCTCACCACCCCCGTAGCTTCCTGGAGACCCAGAATGCCACGTGGGGGGCGCCCCCCCCCCCCTTATTAATAATTAAAACGTTCGCAACTTTTATAATGTGCCGATTCGCTCTCGAAGAGAGAAGACGACCCGGAGCTCGGAGGCGCGAGGAGGAACCGCGGACGAGCGGGAGCGCAGCAGCCGCTGGGTGAGCCGGCGCTCCCACCAATCGCCCCAAGCTCCGCGATCCTCTGTGTGTATTTTCACAATGTCGTCGGCCAATTAACGGGTGATAATCGTGGGAGGAAACCGGAGCACTCGGGAGGAAACACACGCGCGCGAAGGTGCAAACACTCTATTCTCTACAGGTGGAGGTCCACGTTCGTTTTTGTTGTTGTAACGCCTTCCTCTGGCGAGCCGGGGTACGACGGACACCTCCCTCGACGCTCGTGGCAAGCGGGAGTTTCACAACATGTGAGTGATGCACCAACTCCTCGCCGCCTCCACATCGCTAAAGAATCGCAGGTCGCGTCGCCGCCAACGCCGCCTGACCACTGTGAGGCCTTCTTTTGTGCGAGGCCCTGGGCAATTCCCTCCATCCCGGGGTGGCCCTAGGCACGTGACGACTAGGTAAAGGGTTCAATGGCAGATGCAGGCTGTCAGTCACTCACTCACTCACCACCAGCGTGTCCAGGGAGTCGATGAGAGTCAGAGAGAATCTGGCGGGATTTCGCGGGGCGGTCGGTCAGCGTTAAAACGAGAGAGGAACACACGCGTTTGTAACGACCGGCACAGATGAGGTGGTCATGTTAACTCCCTCGCCTGGTATACATGAGGTCGTGGGTTCGATCCCGATCCTGATGCCTGTAAATTTGGAGTTTGCGGTGTCTCTCTCCCCGTGGTCGCGTGGATTTTTTTCTCCGGGTCCTCCATTTTTTTTCCCCCTCCACATTTAGAATCAAAGTGCGTTCTTAGAATATTTGGCCACTATAAATTGCCACATAACGATACGCCACTTCGTTGAGCTATCATTTGTGACGGCCAGGTCGCTTCTGAAAAAAGAGCTACATAGCTCAGTGGGCCCTTACACGGTAAAATAAAAAAAAGCAGTTCATAGTTTAAATGAGGACCTGGCTCTGTCTTCACAAGGGAAGCTACAGCGGGAGTGATCGTCTCACCGTCCGAGTGCGTCGTCAGCGTCCCCGCGGCTCGGCTCACGCTCGCGGTCGCGACCCCGGCAGCTCAGCGGCATGAGCTCGTCATCCGGGAATGCCCGAGTCTACACGACCATCATCATCATTGTCGGTGTCGTCATCGTCGGCAACAGTTTGCGCGCATGTAATTCGCTCGAATTGTAAATTATAGAAAAATACCCCATTTTTAAGCATGGCATTGACACTACGCGTTTTTGCTTCAACGCGGGTTATCTTTTACTTTCTGTTTTTTTTGCTTAACTCGCACCGGCGCCCGTGACGGACTACTCGCTGCAACGCGAGTCTACCACGTGACGGACTACTTTTCTTAGCGGTGTGGGTGTAAGACAGCGTTGTTCGGGGATGCTGGGAGCTGGTACTGTCGTACTTTAGTACAGGTACTGTAGCATGTCGTTTTATTTACTTATAACCATGGCTCTGTCGGGTGCTGTAAGGTTAGAGAGTTTTTTTTTACATTCCATCATGCCTTCACGATCTAACCCGAAATAAGCTAATTATGAATCACACATGGATGTGTTGAGTATACAAATCAGTGGTCGTGTCATCTACAGCAGCGTTTCTGCAAACGCCAGTTACTATGACTTTCCTCCACCTCTGCCTTTTCACCATTGCCAATCCTATATATTCACTTGAAAATCAAGCAAGGGCTTACTACGTGCACCCCGATGATTGGTAAACACAGAAAGCTGACCCGTGGCTCGTGGCGAGGACTGCAGTTGAGAAACTCTGATCTGTCCTCGAGACAGTCTGGTCCCTTCACCTGATGAAGGCCACTTGTGTTGTGGCCGAAACGTCGTGATTTTTTGTTGTTTTATTTTTTACCTACGTGACTTTACCGAATAGAACCAGAGAGTATGGATCCTTGCAGTCACGAAAGCTTTAAATCTAGAACAGGTACTGTAGTATAGAATATGAATCCCTGCAGTCACGAAAGCTTTAAATCGAAATTTAAATCGAAATTTAGGTACTGTAGTATTCATACTGTAGTCCTGATGCGCGCTGTGATACATGACGTGCCTTCCTCTTCCTCAGCCATTGTACCGGCAGCATCTTTGTGTGCGTAGCATCCCCTCGCTCCCTTATCTTTTTCACTCGCCGTATCTCTCTCTGTCGGGCACGTTATATATAAATGAATGACTGCCACGCATAGCACGCTTAACGCGAATTCGCTTCACGCGGCAATTCTCAGGAACGTAACCCCCCCCCCCCCCCGCGTTAAGCGGGGACTTTGCAGTAGTCTATTCTGATAGCCAAGATTCGATGCACATCGTACGGTAGGCATAATCGATTTTCACGGATGAATCGCTAAAAGCCGATTCATTATCGGCACAGCTGACGAGCGACCGTGTCATCGACTGAAGCGCGTCTGGAGTTAGTTGCATCGGAATCCAACGCCTTCAGCAGGAGCCACTTACCATGTAGCTCCCGTATGCGTGGTCAAACATCTCCAACACCTGCTCCCTGCAGCCACCACGGGTACCAGGTGGGAAATCGTCATCATCATCATCGTCGTCATCGTCAACATCATCGTCATCATCATCTTAATAATCATCGTCATCATCATCGTCAACATCATCATTATCATCATCATCGTCGTCGTCATGATTGTCGTCATTGTCGTCATCGTCGTCATCATCATCGTCAACATCATCATTATCATCGTCGTTATCATTATCGTCGTCATCATTATCATCATCATCGCCTGGCGGTGGTGGCTATGCACGTGGCCTGTAATCCAGCACTGTGGGCGTCAAGGGGTGCCGTAACCCTGGCTTACCAGAAGGCTACGTGCTATGAAGAATGCCCAACTGTTGCACCCCCACGCACAACGGCTGTGGTTGCTGAAATGCTGGACAGCTCCCAACCCCCCTGTGCCGCGAACGATATTCCGTGGAGTTCATACGAGCGTGGGTGTAAACTTCGCTAAATTGTCATAACTTCCATTCTTAATTGACAATCGTATATACAGTACTACAAAACTAAATATATTCGTCAGTTACCCTGCCTTAAGAGAAAAAAGTATAAAGAATAAACGACGTTTCAGGCAATGGCCATTCTTCATAGCACGTAGCATATAAATACTATATACGGGCATCGTGTAACCCATGTCAGACAACGGGAAGGGGAGTCACGGTTGTAATTAATGGAAGCGGAAGAAACGTGGGAAAGTAAGAGAGGAGAGAAAGAACGGGAATTGAGAGGAAAAGGATGGCAAAAGTAACCAGAGCAGAGGGATCAGGAGAGATGAGGATGGGGAGGAGGAGGATCGGGGCGTTGACGTTGCTGCTGCTGCACGGTGGAGGAGCGGCGTCTGTTTACAGAGTGGGCGGCGACGGGGAGAGGGGCGGGGTTCAGAGTGGGGGTGGCAACACAGAAGGCACGTGGTTTACAGGAGGCTTGAGCTGATTTTGGAGGGATACAGGGGTGGCCCAAAAGTCAGGACACATTCGGGTTACTTAATTACTTTTAACACTGGAATTACAGCATTTAATTGTTTATTCTTTAAGTTAATATTTGATCTCTTATTCATAATAATTGAATTGTCTCCTTCCTTTTTTGAATAGTTACAAAATGAAAAGAAAATTGACAGACCATAATTGATGTTCAAAGATTACACCTGTAATTCTAAACATTAACTTCAAAAGATAATTCATGCATCATGCTTTAATGTTCATGGAAGTCAGCTGGAACATTCGTTAAAAATAAACGAAATAACCCAACGCGCTTTGTTAATATAACATAACCCTGTGTGACCTGGCGTCTGGGCCACCCTGTACGAGATGAGAGGGGAGCGGATTCAGGGTCGGGGTGACCGCGCAGATAAGTCACGAAGCTCCGGCTGATTTCAGAGCGCCAGAGCTTAGTGGTGACCATTCCACATTACCGCGACGGGGCCAAGTACATCCGCCTCGAGTGACCGCGCGTCGCGTGAACCTGTCGCGCACCGTAGACGTGATTTCTCCTCCGCGGAGAGCGTGCTGCTGCTGTCTGAATCGAGGGTCATCACCCCCGGTATGATGATAAGTATGATGGTGGCGGTGGTGATGATGGTGGTGGTCATCATGGCAGGATTCAATTGAAGCCACGTTATTATTTTGTGATCGAGTCTCCGTTTTTTTTTGCTGTTTCGCCGAGCCGCCGCTGCTATTAGAGGCGTATGTATTGCATTGGCCGTACGTTAATAAAGAAAGATACAAACGTTTAGAAAATCGCGAGCGTTATATAAAAATTTGCCATCCGCTTCAACGCGTCACTGCAAATCGTTAATGAGCGGCGAGCCGCTTTACCAAACGCGTTTGTGAAATCACGTGACCCCCTCCGACCGCTCGGTACCCGTAGACATGATTCCACCCAAAGGTTATTCGATCATATTTTGATTTAAAGTTTTCGTGACTGCAGGGATTCATATTCTTGGTTCTTTCGGTAAAGTCACGTAGAAGGGAAACAATAAAATATTAAAATATAAAACAATAAAATTCTCACAAACGTTATTCGATCATTTCGGGATACGGGACCACATTGAGCAGCGGTGCACAATAAATAAAATAAACTCAACGCGTTTGTATATCATTACGCTGCGTATGGGCTTTAAAAAAGTTCATGTTAACAAATGATGGTGTTTCGACGTCATCCCAAACGAATGTCTCACTCGCGGGATTGACGTCACCGCGAACGGAGACGCTCGTTTGCATGGCAGTGACGTCACCACGAGCCGAGAAGCTCGTTTGCATGGCAGTGACCTCTCCGCGACCTGAGAAGGTAATTTGCATGGCATTGACGTCACCGCGTGCAGAGACGATCATTTGAATGGCCGTGACGTCATTGCGGGTTGAGAAGCTCTTTTGTATTTTCGTAACGTCAGAGCGAGCGAAGAAAGCTCGTTTGCATGATCGTGACGTCGCCGCGCGAGCCGAGAAGCTCGCTTGCATGACCGTGACGTCATCGCGAGCGGAGAAGCTCATTTGAATGGCCGTGACGTCATCGCGAGTGGAGTAGCTCATGTGCATTGCCGTGACGTCATCGCGGGGCCGCCGAGAGGGGGGGTAACAAGGCTTATGGAACGACTTCGATTTCGGGTGATCGCCTTGAACGTTGAAATTTCCGTCGTCATTCGTGCGATTCGACGTTAAAATTGTGCCACTTTGCGGCGCGTCAGAGCGTGTCGCGGTTTTTAACGCTAAGCTCGCCGGCCGTTGTTTGGGGTTGCAGCCGTTGAGTCAACGAAGCGCCATATTCTTGGTTCTTTCGGTAGTCACGTGGAAAGGGAAACAGTAAGATAACAAAAATATAAAACAATAAAATTGTATTGTTTTATATTTGTTATTGTTTAAAATTGTATTGCTTTATATTTTTTTTTATGATTTTGTCGTTTCCCCTTCTGCGTGGCGGTGACTTTACCCGAAAGGACCAAGAATATGAATCCCTGCAGTCACGAAAGCTTTAAATCAAAACGTGTCGCCGCTTCGACAGCGAGGCGGTGCCACAGATCGCTTCAGTCGACGGGGTGGGGGGTGGCTGGGACGGCGCCACGTGGCTTCAGGAACGGGTGACAGCGACAGAGAGGGGGGTAGGGAGGGTGTAACAGGCGTCTGGGACAATCTCCCCCACGAGATATCAGGATCTCTCTCATCGAGTGTGTGGGCATTTAACACGAAAATAAATCAAAAATAAACCTGTTTAGTCGCTACGGCTTGTTAAACTTTTAGTGTGATTTAGTAAAGGGATTACAATTTAATCGCGTTTGTGCTGAGCTGTCTGCAGCTGCTGATGTGACCTGTACAGCGCTTTTGAGATCCTATATGAAAAGCGATGTATATGGAAGTATTATTATTATTGCTGTACTTAGGGATTATACGAAAGGGCTATGGGGCCGTCCATAAATGACGTCACGCACCTAGGGGGGGAGGGGGTCAGACATTTGTGACGAGGGGGGGAGGTTTGAGAAATGTGACGTCACATCAAAATGCGCTACTTTAAATAAATATTTAACTAAATATTATTTTTATAACAACACTAATTTTAATAAACTTTCACTATTAGCTATTTGATTTTTAAAATTTAATAAAGTCACCGTTTATTTATTCCATGAAGGAGCATTTTGCTTCTCCATGGGAGAATGGAGAAGTATACATTTTGTAAAATTTTGGAATGATTGTTTTTAAAGATTTTTATTTTAATAATTCTACCAGGGCTTTTCATTCTGTGGAATGAATGTGTGATTGTTATAATTATACTCTCCATTTTGTTCGTTCTACGAAGTTTAAAATGTTTTTTATAGTTAGAATTACTTTTAATAATTTATAATTATAAGATAATTTCAATATAATATTCTGAACATCTGCAGTTTTAGTTAGACGTTGAATATTTTCAAGTGAATTTTATGCTAAATTTCAGCTTTCCAACGCCACCTTGTTAATACGTGCTTTCTCCTACAACATCAGAGTGCAGCGCCACATTAAATACGCACTACAATGACAATAGTTTAAAGTGATTTGAAGCATGTTTTATTTTCAAAATGGAAATATGGTTTGGGGGGGGGGGGGCAGAGCTTTGTGACGTCATATTTGAGGGGGGTCTGACTTTTTGTGACGCCGTGTGACGAGTGGGGGGGGAGGGTCAAAAATCAGCCAAAATCGCGTGACGTCATTTATGGACGGCCCCTATAGGGGAGGGAAGTGGAAGGGAATGGGCGATGATGAAGAGGTGGTGAGGCTTGGAGAGAGGAACGCTGAGTCTGGGCAGTGCTGAGTCTATGGGCAGTGTTGAGTCTATGCTGCAGTGCTGAGTCTATGGTGCAGTGCTGAGTCTATGGGCAGTGTTGAGTCTATAGGCAGTGCTGAGTCTATGGGCAGTGCTGATTCTATGGTGCAGTGCTGAGTCTATGGACAGTGCTGAGTCTATGTGCAGTGCTGAGTCTATGGACAGTGCTGAATCTATGGGCAGTGCTGAGTCTATGGGCAGTGCTGAGTCTATGGTGCAGTGCTGAGTCTATGGTGCAGTGCTGAGTCTATGGTGCAGTGTTGAGTCTATGGTGCAGTGCTGAGTCTATGGGCAGTGCTGAGTCTATGGTGCAGTGCTGAGTCTATGGGCAGTGCTGAGTCTATGGGGCAGTGCTGAGTCTATGGGCAGTGTTGAGTCTATGGGGCAGTGCTGAGTCTATGGGCAGTGTTGAGTCTATGGGGCAGTGCTGAGTCTATGGGCAGTGTTGAGTCTATGGGGCAGTGCTGAGTCTATGGGCAGTGTTGAGTCTATGGGCAGTGCTGAGTCTATGGTGCAGTGCTGAGTCTATGGTGCAGTGCTGAGTCTATGGTGCAGTGCTGAGTCTATGGTGCAGTGTTGAGTCTATGGTGCAGCGCTGCTCAATGCACAGGTGAAGTTGATTCCAGTGGAGGGGTTGCAAGGAGGGAGAATGACCGAACACGGGGATTGATGCACAGGGAGAAGGAGCGACAGAGGCAGAGAGAGAACGCAGAGGAGAGGAGGGGACATGGAAGGAGATGAGAGAGGCGAGATGATGATGAATGAGGTGGTGGGGCAGGCCACGGAGAGATGTAGAGACGATGGTCCGGTATCGAAGTCAGTTTGCCCGCCACTCGTGCGTGCAGTTTAAAAGGCTCCCAGTTCACTTGAAAAACAACAACATATGATGTTGCTATTGTTCAACGTCATGGTGAATCGTTCGTTATTTACGATAGTTTAGCGTTTCGCTTGTAAAGGCTGACATGGATTGCGTGTGTTGTTTGCCAAACGGGTCTTCCGACATTTGACGGCATAGCCTCAGGGTGCACCTAGCCTGGCACAAGCGCCGTGGTGACATCCCCGTCACTTAGTGGGTAACAGGATGTTGTTGTCGTCATAATAATCCCATGTATATGGCGTTTTTCATCAAGGATCTCAAGGGTTTATGGTCAAGGGGCCTGGTATGCAGGAGGTCGTGGGTTCAATCCCGACCCTGACACCTGCTGCTGTATATTTGGAGTTTGTGTGTCTCATCATCATCATCACGGTGGCTAGGAGATGTTAACTCCTTCGCCCGGTATACAGGAGGTCGTGAGTTCGATCCCGACCCTGACGCCTGCTGTATATTTGGAGTTTACGTGTCTCTCTCATCATCATCACGGTGGCTATGAGATGTTAACTCCTTCGCCCGGTATACAGGAGGTCGTGAGTTCGATCCCGACCCTGACGCCTGCTGTATATTTGGAGTTTACGTGTCTCTCTCTCATCATCATCACGGTGGCTATGAGATGTTAACTCCTTCGCCTGGTATACAGGAGGTCGTGAGTTAGATCCCGACACTGACGCCTGCTGTATATTTGGAGTTTACGTGTCTCTCTCTCATCATCATCACGGTGGCTATGAGATGTTAACTCCTTCGCCTGGTATACATGAGGTCGTGAGTTCGATCCCGACCCTGACGCCTGCTGTATATTTGGAGTTTGTGTGTCTCTCTCTGTGTATTTACTCCGGCTCCTCCGGTTTTCCTCCTCCACTTTAAAAAAACATCATCACCACGCGTTTCGAGTATTTGGCTGCCGTTATGAATTTCCACGTGATGATGGGATCAGTCACTTGGTCCGGCTGTCATTTGTGATGGCTAGGTTCGCTTCTGAAAAAAACAAACTTCATAGCTCAGTGGGGCCTTACCTGGTAAAATTTTAATTGAATAGATTTTAATTTGTACGTGGGCTGAAGTTTGGGTTTGTCGTTGCATTGACAGCTAAAAGGAGACCTCGGCGAATCTATTGGCTCTTTGTACGTACAGCAGAGTAATAGAGTGCCAAGTTGATTGTTATTTGCCTTCATTTCCACAGTTTTAATCTCAAAACACTTAATTTTTTGCAATTGGGCATGATTAATTTTGCAAGTTTTAATAATTATCTGCATGTTATAAGTTTGTGTTTAAAAAAAAATATATTAATGTTCAGCTTGTGCCTGTGGTGTTTATGTCATTTGCTTGGAGAGGCTTTGGCTATTACAACGTTTAAGTATATATATAAAAAAGTTAATTCAATTTTACTCTGTCACATTACAAAAGCTGATTTGTTTTTTGTTGTTGCTTGAAGGAATATTTTATGTTTGTCTCTCGATCTTAGCATGGAGACAAGCAAGCTGGGATCTGACAGGTACAGAGTTCCATTTAACCATTTTTGTACAAAAACTATAATTTACAGCCCTTCCTCTATCCACTGTTGGATGAAGGCCCCCGGAAACTTCGGAGATTGTTTGAGCGTTCGGTACTTTGCCACCTCCGCCAGCACAAGTTTTAGTGAAGACCGGTTTGTATTTCGCTTTTAGCCACTGATGGTATCTGTGGCCGGGTTAAAAGCGCAATGCGCTAACCACTGCACCACCGTACCCCCCCCCCCCCCGCCGCCACCTTGATCATGTGCTGACACTTAAGAGATTCACATGTGGTGGGGCAATGTGTGGGTACTGCTTCCACGACTTTGCTGGCCAGCATGGAAGAGGAGACCAAATTCCTTTGAGATGGGCTCTCTAAAGCACCCCCCCTCCCTCCGCTAGTGGAGACTCACCGGCAGTGATATGAGCAAGTAGTGGCAGGGCTGCGCTTTCACTTTTAATACACTGTACAGGGACTACCTCTACTTACGAACATTCGACTTACGAACTTTCGGAGATACGAACAAACCTGGTCCGTACGTCCAGTTGCAGCTGTTTGGACCCAGAGTCGTTAAGTTCAACTGCCGCCCAATAGATGGCGGTGGTGGCATCTACATCTGCAGAACATGAAGAACCAGTGGCTTGTACATCTGCAGGAGATTGTACAACTTTTAAAGCCATTCCCCGTGTTTAGTGTACACGCTGTACAACACGTTTGGAACCTAACTCGTTCGTAAGTAAGGAGTCCCCCCTGTATGCATTAAAGTACTGTCATTTCAAAAACGAATTTTTCCTAAAATTACGAGGCCATTGGTTTTCCATTTTAACAGTCTCAATGTTTTTTTGCTTCTGATCGTTACGTAGTTGGCGTAGCGGCTGTGCATATGCAGTACTCATAAAAAAAAAAGCACGTACAGATTCATAGTTACAGTATAGAAGCAGACGCACAATTGTGGAATTTTTACACATATATAAAGCGTATAGCCCATTCACAATGGTTGTAGGCCACGGTGGTTAATATCACCATACTTCACCACGCTGGTCAGTGCCGGTTGGTGCAGAGGGTACACTCAGGACCGGTTCAGACAATGACTCTGTGCCGCCACTGATGTCAACCGTGGCCGAGAAGCGGATTTTAGGTCGCCGGGTTCAAAGCGTGCAGTGGCGGTCCAGGATACTGCCAAGCCGCACTGAGGGTCCGTCCATAAATGACGTCACGCACCTGGGGGGGGGGGGGTCAGACATTTGTGACGATGTGTGACGAGCGGGGGGGGGGGGGTTTGAGAAATTTGACATCGCATCAAAATGCGCAACTTTAAATAAATATAGCTTTCCAACGCCACCTTGTTAATACGTGCTTTCTCCTACAACATCAGAGTGCAGCGCCACATTAAATACGCACTACAATGACAATAGTTTAAAGCGATAACGTATGGCGTGGAGAGGCCCTCAACCAGCAGTGAAATGATAGAAGGGATGCCCATGTGCATGTACAGCCCTAGTAGTAGTTGCCCCTTTCTCACAGGCGAAAAGCAGAAGTTACACCATGCTCAATTGAGCAATGAGGTGGCTTTGATATGTCATTTGTCGAAATTCCCACATTCCCATTTTTGGGGAAACTTTGTTTGAAGTGGCGACCATGCTGAACGCAGCACCACAAACGCACACCCAAATGTTAATAAACACTTTAACTTATTTCGCACCGTACGTAGCCAGCCTTGCTAATCGGAGGTGCGGGGGAAGGGCAATAAACTAAACACAAAGAGCACTTATAAAGAAACGAGTTTTCACTTCAGATTTAAAAGTGCATAGCTTCAGTCGCATTCCAGATGGCCGCAGAAGCGCATCTGATGCAATGACCATCTTTGTTCTATTGTTAGCCGAAAGCCGCTGCGAGGATGACCGGAGTTTTTCCATTTGCCTGTGACTGACTTCTTCTTTCCGTCCATAAAACAAATATGCGCAGTGTATTTTTCAAACGGCATCTTGAAATGCGGTCACATATGCGATTGAAATCCACATTGCATGGACTCCTCACACAGAGCCAAAAGTCAGAGGCCCATATAGACACATAGACCCATAGACTCACATATAGACACGTAGACCCATAGACTCGCATATAGACACGTAGACCCATAGACTCACATATAGACGCGTAGACCCATAGACTCACATATAGACACGTAGACCCATAGACTCGCATATAGACACGTAGACCCATAGACTCACATATAGACACATAGACCCATAGACTCACATATAGACACATAGACCCATAGACTCACATATAGACACGTAGACCCATAGACTCACATATAGACACGTAGACCCATAGACTCACATATAGACACGTAGACCCATAGACTCACATATAGACACGTAGAGCCATTGACTCACATATAGACACATAGATTCACATATAGACACATAGACACAGACTCACAATATGGAGAGATCTGTAGTCATACAGAGTGCTACGATTATGTAAATGTAACTTTACAACTTTTCTGTGCAGCCTCTGGATATGCAGTCACATTGTTACGCCACATTAACGAAACATTGATCTATTTAAGATATTTGCTTTCTAGTTCCGTTGCACAGAGACGCGCACCTCTGATTATTAGCACGGTTGGCTACGTGCGTTGCGAAATAATTTCAACATACACACACGGAGATACACACAAGCATTTAACATTTTCACGGGAGTGTTACTCATTGCCCCGATGCCTTTGTTAAATTGGGCTTTTACTGTACAGTATTTAACTTGCTTGACTTCTTACAAGCGCTTGTGCATTTGTGCCAATGCAGCCCCGAAACCTTCACTCCTCCCGACGGGACAAAAAATCGGCGTCAATCCCGCAAACGCAAAGCCAGAGATGACGACGACGATGACGACGACAACAATCGGGAGGATGGTGGTGGCGAGCTTGCCATGCCCGGCACCTCGTGGCACGGGCCGTGGACCTCTTCACGCGTCAACTCCAAGACGAGTGTCCCCGCCAAACCTGATCGACGGCAGCAGAAGCCGGCGGATGAACCGCCCGTGAAAAGGCGCGCCGTCGGCAAACCCAACGCACCGGCGACGACGACCCGGCCACCCTCGGCTTCGTTGACGGTGGCGGTTTCAGCCAAGAAGGGGGAGAAGTTGACGGCGTCTAGCAGTCCGGGTGGAGTCCTAACGCGCGCCGCGGCGGCGGGACTGCTGGAGCGTCGCCCGGAGCGTGTCCGTCGGTTCGAGGCGAGCGCCAACGAGCGCGGTAGCGCTGTGAGACCCGCGGAACCGCGCGGCGTGGCCAGGCGGGATTCGCAGGGCTCGCCACGCGACGGCCAGGGCAAGGCCGAAGAAGCGGCGAGCTCGAGGGCAACGGGAGGCGAGCGGACGGGGCTCGCCTTGAAGTGCAAGTCGGCCCGGGAGGTGAGTAGAAGCAAATTGGCAGAGAACGTGCAGAGCTCCGGGCGAGGGTCCGGCAAGAAAGAAGGAGCGGTACCAAGCGCCGTGAAACCGTCTCGTCGTGCGGAACTTGAGCGCGACGACGATGGCGGCGATGTCGGGGAAGGTTCTGGAAAGGGTTGGTCGTTTTCGTGGAACCGGGTTCGGCCGCTGGGCGCGGAGGGACGCAGGCCGGCGGCACGGCCCGCATCCAAGGGAGGGGCAAAACCCGCGGCCGCTCGGCGGGGGACGTCAGAGGCGGAGTGCCGTCTCAAGGTTCCCGCGAAGAAGCGGGCGCCGTCTGTCACGAGCAAACGACCCAAGGTCCAGTTGAAAATTGGCCCCGGCAGGCCGGCCGCGGTACTCGGCGCGGGCCGAGAAGAACAGGGCCGGCTGACGGCGAAGAACAACACAAAGCTACGTGCCGGAGGGGAGGAGGAGGAGGAGGAGAGGGCGATTCCGGAATTGTGCATAAATGCAGTGCGGGTGAAGGAGAGAGGAAGGCACAACGAGGGGAAGAGTGTAGTGGAGCGTGGTAGACTGAAGGTGGCGGTGGTGCCGCCAAAAGTGCGGCTCCCGGTGCAGCCGGACTGGGAGATGACTGCCGTCGTCGAGACGGAAACGGTGAGAGTGACGGCCGGAGACCCGGCCGTCCTGAGATGCCTTAGTCTGCCTCAGTGAGCCATAGGTATTAATATTGTGCCCTAAGAATCATAGAGGTGTGTTAATCTGGCTTTATGAAGCTCGGGCATTAGCACTGAACCGTAACAATCCCAAAGGCGCCTTAATCTGGCCCTACAAGCCTCGGGCATGAACTCGCAAAGGAGAGAACGTGTCCCAAGAGGTTTGACCGCTGCGGAGATGGAGCGTTGAGATCAGCTCATGTGCACGAGTGAGATGGGACTCTGGCAACTCAGGACGGTGAGGGATGGTGACGTCATGGGGAGGCCAGCAGTGGATAGACAATGGCTGATGATGATAACATGCCTGGAACATTAAGATCCATAAAAAAAATGTGAAAGGCGCCTTGGTCTGGCTCTGTGAGCCTCAGTAATGATGACCGCTGGTATTGTGACGCTACAGCGGTCCAAGTTCTAATCTGTGCGGCACGATACAGTTACGCAGAATGACACGGGTTATTTGTCCCGCCATCTCGCAGCGCGGCACGTACGTCGTATCTCGCCGTTGCATTATTTATGGGCCAATTGTTTTCGCCGAATGCGTCTGCCGCGTTAAAAACGAGGGCTCGCCGCATACGCCAATGAGACGGAGGTCTGGGAACCTGACGCCACGGTACAGTACAACGCCGCGGCCGTCGTAAAGTTCCTCCCCGTTTCTCCGCAGGCCCCGTCCGGGCACGACGACCCTCCGCGGTCGGCGTTGCCTGTCGTTGGCGATGAGGGGGGCGGCGGGCAGCCGTGCAGCATGGAGGTGGACTTTCCGGCACCGTCTTTCGCCAGCGGCGGAACTGCAGGTGACCTGCGCCGGCCGGCCGGCCGGCCGGTCGGTCGGTCGGCCGGCCGGCGGAGTGCGCGCCGTGGCAGACCCGCCCGCGGCCGCGTTTCTGTAGCGGGCGCGGTGCGCGACGAGGGAGAGGGACTCGCGCACACGTGTGATTTCACGTAACGCTCACCGACTCGCCCTACCCGCTCGGCAGCCTGCTCGCGCGGTCCATCGGACCTGGAACTCACCGTCGCTGCATCTATGTTCGAGACTCTTCGCAGAGATTTAACCAGTCCGGTAGAAAATACAAGACAGAACTGTGTAATTAGAGCTCACAAAGTCTGCGTATTGCCCGCTCCTGAGTTACAATCGGGGCCGACGATTGCCATGTATAGTTCCACTCGATTATGTTGCGGGTAGTTTTTATAATTTGGCAAATTGGCACCCTGACCCCGGCACAGAGTATTAATCAGAGGGGGGGAGGTGGGGAAGGGAGGGTGGGGGCTGCTGGATCCGAACCGCGAACCTCTGATCGAGCGGCGAACGCGCTCGACCGATTGGCCGTCTCACTAGCCGTGTCTTGCGTAGAGCCGTGCCGGCTGCACGTGGTCCTCGACACCAACGTCCTCCTGCAAGAGCTGCCACTCGTGCGTCGTTTGAGGGAGTGGCACGTGCGTGGTGAGCTCCCGGCGACGGTGGGGAGAGAGGGGGGGGGTGTGGGGATGGAGGGGGGTGGTGGGGGACGGCGGGGGAGGGGGGGGGGTTTCGTGTGTGGGAGGGAGGGGTCCGCTCAGCCTCAAATGAGTAGAGTGCCTGGTGCGGTGCGTAGTAAACATCGGCACGCGGGAGACGAAAGCGCCTTGGCGTGGTGCTGGCCACCCACCCCCTCGTCGTGTCAGGAGCTGAGTGCACTGCATAGCGCAGCGGCCAGCATGCTGCGCCATGATGAACCCAGCGACCCGAGTTCGATTCCCGCTCACGGCCACCGACACCAGTGATGGTTATCTGAACCGGTCCTGGGCCTCCTCTAAGTCAACTAAGCCTCAAATGAGTAGACACCGCCGCGCGGGAGACGAACGCGATTGGGCGTGGTGCTGGCTACCCACCGCTCCGTGTGCCGTTCCGACCTCGCTACCGGCACCTACCCCCAACAGTCTGTGGCAGGGGCGGTGATGGTTTTGTTTGCCGGGCCGACGCGACGCAGGCCGATGCTGAGCAGGAATAACGCGGCCTCTGTATCGTACAGCGTGGTGGATTTGTTCAGCATCCACACGCGACTGCTTCTCAAGCTGCTGTGGCAATGTCTCGGAGAGAGGGGCGGTCAGTCATAGGGTCTCTGTTGTGAGTCTGGGCCCCTTATGCGAGTCTGTGAATCCCTGTGTGGCTATATGAATCTGCGTATGGGTATATGAGGTCTGTATGTGTGTATATGGTTCTCTGTGTGAGTGTATGGGTCTGTGGATATATGGGTCTCTGTGAGAGAATATGGGTCCCTGTAGATGTATAGGTCACTATGTGAGTCTGAAATCTCAAATGTGAGTCGGTTACATTGATTTTATTAGAGCGGTCGATGGTCATATGCAGAGGGAATACGGGCTCCATCTTCGTCGTGACAAGGGGATGAGAGTCGACAGCACGCAGAGCACTTGCGCTGCCTGTCACGTGCTCCGTGACTGTCGAATGCTGTCCAGTCGAGCGTTCAGCGGCCACACCACCGGCGCTGCGTCGCGCGTCGAGTGACCGCGTGCGTGCGTGCGCGCGTCTCTCTCCGCGCGCCACGCGTAGAGCGGCCGTCCCGGTCCTGTGCCGTACGCCTGTTTCCGTCCGCATGCCGCGCGTTGCAACGGCCGTCAGCGGCCCTCGAGCCGTCGTGTGCGTTTTGAGCGGCTGCCTCCGCCTGACGGCGCGCAGCCGGGCAGGCCGTCTCTCGTTCGCACACCGCCGTGCGTTCACCGATGTCGGCTTCGCGGGGGGCCGGGCCGGTTCTGCAGGGGCCGGGCTCCCTCCAGGGCGGGGGGTGTCGGGCGGCGCGAGGGGCCACGGTGTCGACGGGGGAGGAGGGTGCGGACGGTTGGACGGCGGGGACGGCGGGGCGCGCCGCGAGCTACTTGAACGACCGCCTGGCGCGCCGGCTGCCGCCCCCGCGGGGACAGCCGGCGCAGCAGGCGAGCCAGCGCCCGTGTGAGTGGGCATCGCGGACACGGGCCTGGGTGTTTCCGCCTCTCCGCGTCCCCGGGGAGGGGCGGGCACGGCTCGCGCCTGCGTCGGAGTACCGAATGATTGCAGGCGGTCCCCGCGCTACGAGCGTCCCGACTGTGCGGACGTCCGCGCTCACGGACGAACCGCCGCACGGCGCTGTTATTTTTCACCGTCCGACTTGCGAACGTTTGTTGAACTGTTTTGTTCGGCGGAGCGATCCTCCGCGAGGTGTAACGAGTCCCGAGTATCCCGCGTGGGAGTGCGTAATATATACAGCGTTGTTTCAAGCGAGCCTGACCGCAGACGAGACACCGTATGCCGAAACTGGTCCAGGGTTCGCTTGTGTTACGTTAAGCCATGGTGACGTCGGCAGAGCGCTTCTGAGAATCGCTTAACAGTGTTGTTTTTTTATCGTCAGTGAAGCTTCAAACTCATGTCGGATGGCCTCGGTGGGTATCTGCAAGATTAGGGCCGTCCATTCGGGTCGTGAGTTGTATTGGACAGGGCATCCCGTACCCTCAACGAGGACATGGTGAAGGGTGAAGGGTTGCGGTGGTGCTGTCGTTGCAGGCGGCCTGCTGGAGGAGTCCAACAACGATGGCGTTCTGCAGTGCATCCTGCAGTGCACGCAACAGCACCCGTCCGCGCACACGCTGCTGCTGCTGACGTATGCCGCGCACACGCGCGCGCGCGCGCACGCCCGGGCACACAGACGCACGTCACACGATGGGGGGTGGGTGGCCAGCAACACGCACGCGCGCACACTGCTGCTAACGTACGCTGCACACTTGTGCGTTCGGGCACACGAATGCACAAAACTAAGGCAAACATCCCCCGCTACGGATTTCAACAGGCTGTTGATGCGAGTGCCATTGGCGAGCACCTTTAAAGGTCAGCACGGTCCACAAGGGTGGTGGGTGGCCCGCACCACGCCCCACCGTCTTTCTCTCCCGAGTGGCGATGTTTACACACCGCACCAGGTACTCATTTGAGGCTGAGTCGACCTGGGGGAGGCCCAGGACCGTTTCAGATAATCGTCACCGGGGGTGGCCGTGAGCAGCAATCAAACTCATGTTGCCGGGTTCATGGCGCAGCGTGCTAACCGCTCCGCACGTGTGCACAAAAGACGAAAGACACACACGCGTGCGCACTCGTGTGCACGCACACTCATGCACACGCGCACATACAAGGAGGAAAAAGGACGATCAGCCAGTGTATGATCACGTGATCGATGATTCACGCTGACCGTCTGTAACCCAGGTCTCTGGCAGGTAACAAGCTTCCATGTGTGTTTGTAAGAAATATCAAGCGTAGAAAGAGAAGACGTTTTGGAAACGTTTGCCGGGGTTTTTGGTGTTAATGTAGATATGTTAAACTTCTTTCGCACCGTACGTAGCCATCCATGCCAATCGGAGGTACGTGGGAAGGACACCAAACTTAACGCAACAAGCACTTCTGAAGAAATTGGTTTTCAATCTTGACGACGTAAGACTGCATAGCTCCCAGTGGGCTTCCTAATAAATCGGAAGGAAGAGCGTTCCAGACGGCCGCAGGAGCGCATCCGAAAGCGCGAGCGATGCCGCGACCGTCTTTGTTCGACGACCCGGCAAAAGCCGCCGCCGCTGCTGCGAGGATAAGAGTTGACCACAGCCCTCGTACGCTGACCCGCTGACCCGCTGACCTGCTGACCTGCCGACCTCTCCCACCACCTGCTGCGTCTCCACTACTCCCCCACCCCTCTTCCCAACACATCCCCTGCGTACTCAGCGACGACGTGAACCTGTGCTCGAAGGCGCTGGTGAGCGGCCTCAACGCGTGCACGGTGCGCAACCTCGCAGCGGAACTCGGCCGGATAGCCGACGAGGAGGCCGGCGCTCCCGCCCTGCCGCGGCGCGGTAAGCTCGGCGCGTCGGCGGCGTCCGTGACCGCGCACCCGTTGAACTCTTAAGCCGCCACAGGACACCCGCGTGCCGACGGTAACCCCTTAGCCCTGACGAGTGGCGGGTCGTAGCTACCAAGGTTTGCTCCGTGTTTCTTCCGATCTTGGCGCTACGCGCCCAACAAGCCTCCCTGGGGTGGTGACACGTTTGTACGTTTGTGTGTTGAACTTATTTCGGCACCGTACGTAGCCAACCGTGCTAATCCGAGGAAGGACAACAAACTATGGGTCTCTGTGTAAGTCTATATGTCTCTGTGTGAGTCTATGGGTCTCTGTGTGAGTCTATGGGTTTCTGTGTGAGTCTATGGGTCTCTGTGCGAGTCTATGTGTCTCTGTATGAGTCTATGAATGTATATTGAACTTCTATGGAACCGTACGTAGCCAACGGTGCTAACTGGAGGTACGGGAATCGGACATGGCTGAGTGTGACCCGTGTTTGCCGCCTGTTGCATCTTTGTGTTTTTATTCTTAAGTAAATCTCATAACAAAGTCCAGCCTTTCCGTACGTCACGTGAGTAAGGAATTACACTTATAAATGCGCATCTCTTATAACCTAGGCTTTCACGAGTGCACCATATTTGTTACGTTGTAAGCTCTATGAAAGAGTTCTGTCTTGCATTTCGTACTTGACTGCTTAAACGTCTATGAAGACTCTCAAACATGCAGAGGCTGATGAACCGCTGAGTAGGTGAGTGGGTGAGTGATTGGTTGGGTGAGTAGTTGAGTGAGTGGGTACGTGAGTTCTAGGCCGATGTACCGCTGAGTCGGTGAGTGGGTGGGTGAACGAGTGAGCGAGTGTAGGTGAGTTCCAGGCCAATGGAGCGCTAAATAGGTGAGTGGGTGGGTGAGTAGGTGAGTGAGTGGGTAGGTAAGACTTAGGCCGATGGACCGCCGAGTAGGTGATTCTGTAGGTGAATCGGAGTGTGAGTTATCCCTACTGGCATACAAGCCTGTGAAACATAGCACCTTCGTGATGTCCTTGTGTTATAAGAATGGCATGAATACCAAATGTACTTTATTATTCTACGTACAATTTTTACAGCCTGGCGCAATTCTTCTCTTCCCCAGTCGCCCCGTCCAGCCCTGAATGCCAGCTGGCCGCTGTGATGAACCATTCCATTGCACGAGCGGGGGACCGTACCCCTGTCAGCACGAGAGGTCAGGGTCCCATCGGGCGCGGGCAGAAAGATGCCGGCTCTCAGCTGACTCAGCGCATTCACCGGTTGCTGCACACGGACTTTAAGGATGCCCTCGCTGCCATCGTGGAGGAAGAGATGAAGCTGGCCTACGATGACAAATGGCTGGACGTGCGTACATTTGCATGGGTCTGCATGTCCGCCTGTGCGCATGTGCTTGTTTGTGTGTGGCAGCGTGGCGTGAGGAGCGGTGTGTAGCGGACAGCGCGCTGCCCTACGAACTTGGCGATCCGGGTTGGATTCCAGCTCATGGCCAACACCAGTGACCATTAACTGGTCGTGGGCCTCCCTGAAGTCGACACGGCCTCAAATGAGTACCTGGTGCGGTGTGCAAACATCGCCACAAGGGAGACAAAGGCAGCCGGGCGTGGTCCTGGCCACCCACCCCCTCGTGTGCCGCGCCTGCCTTTAGAGGTGCTCGCTAACAACGCTTGCCCCAACAGTCTGTTAACGCCATACGGGGGATCTTTCTTTTTGTCTTGTTGGGTAGCGGTGGTGCATCTGCCATTCACCCATGGCACCCAGGTCTGTCCTGTGACCTCCTTGCCAGTGAGCCTTTGACACTTGACGTGGCCTCAAAAGTGCACATGGCCTGGCAGAAAGGCCACGGTGACGTCACCGCCACTTGGTGGCGAATGGCGGCGTGTGGTTGTCGTTTCTGGGGAGCGTCGGTGCAGCGGTTGGCGCGCTGCGCTACGAACCCGGCGACCCGAGTTCTGAGCCAGACAACCGCTGTCGACCACCCACGAGGTGGCACCCATTTTATTGACCCCGGCGGGATGATGTGCCGAGCCAACCAACCAATCAGACCTTCCGCCTTGCGAGCCGCTCGCTGTCCCGCTGAGCCACCCGGCACCCGGCTTGGGAACGTGTAATTTCCACCGCTGGCTCCGACAGCGCTCTCCGCCGACCGGGAATTGAACTCGCGTCGCCCGGGTTGATCGCAATTGGCGCACGTAAACTGCCGCGCCCCTCTGCCGAGCTTTGAAATCTTCTTTCCCCGCCCCCCGCCTTCAGGTTGTGTGTATGCCCCCTCCGTACACGCTGGCGCACGCCCTGCATTGCCTGAACAAGCACTGGACCGCCGTGTTCGGCTCGGTGGTGCGCCGCGGCCTGCAGCAGACCGTGATGGCGCTGCAGAAGCAGCAGCACCGGCGTACGCGTCGCACGCTCGCGCAAGGACGGATGCCACTGGCGAACGCGCACACGTGCAGATGCACGCCACACGTACACGCCATAGCTTGCTGAATCTCGTCGAGGAACACACAGCGAACTCCGGTCATCCTCGCAGCAGCGGTCACCGCATCGAGCGCTTTCAGGTGCACTTCTGCGGCCGTCTGGAACGCACTTCCTTGCGATATTAGGAAGCCACTGGAGTTCTGCACTTTTAAATCATCTAGATAAAGTAATTTGTTTAGAACAGTTTTTTTGCGTGTTTAGTTGTCCTTCCCCCACACCTCTGATTGGCACGGTTGGCTACGTACGGTGCAAAAGAAGTTCGACACGCATACATCAACATACATATTTAAAGCACACCGCGTACACATACCACACAGCGTGGTGTACACTACACACGCACGTCACAGATCACACACAACACAAAGACAGAGGTCGCCTCGATAGCCTTTACATGCTGTTGGGGACAGTGCTGTTAGCAAGCACCTATGAAGGCTGGCACGAGACACGAAGGGGTGGGTGGCCAGCACCACGCCCGGCCGCCTTTGTCTCCCCAGTGCTGATGTCTACACACTGCACCAGATACACATTAAGAGGGAGACGACCTAGGTGAGGCCCACGACCAGTTCCAATAGTCGCCGCTGTTATTTGTCGTGAAGCCACTGGGTTCACCGCGCACGCCGCTCCCCGCTCCACTTTCGCTCCCAACACACGACGCGCCACACACACAACACGCACACAACACGCAACACGCCACGCAACATACGCCACACAGCACAGCGCACGCATGACGCAAAGGCAACACGCAACACACACCGCACACGCAGCACACACAGAGACAACACAGCACACAAATACAACACACAGCACACAAATACAACACACACAGCACACAAATACAACACACACAGCACACAAATACAACACACACAGCACACGCAGCACGCAGAGACAACACAGCACACAAATACAACACACACAGCACACAAATACAACACACACAGCACACGCAGCACGCACAGAGACAACACAGCACACAAATACAACACACACAGCACACAAATACAACACACACAGCACACGCAGCACGCAGAGACAACACAGCACACAAATACAACACACACAGCACACAAATACAACACACACAGCACACGCAGCACACAGAGACAACACAGCACACAAATACAACACACACAGCACACGCAGCACACACAGAGACAACACGGCACACAAATACAACACACACCGCACACGCAGCACACACAGAGACAACACAGCACACAAATACAACACACACAGCACACAAATACAACACACACAGCACACAAATACAACACACACAGCACACAAATACAACACACACAGCACACGCAGCACACACAGAGACAACACAGCACACAAATACAACACACACAGCACACGCAGCACACAGAGACAACACGGCACACAAATACAACACACACCGCACACAGCACACAAATACAACACACACAGCACACAAATACAACACACACTGCACACGCAGCACGCAGAGACAACACAGCACACAAATACAACACACACCGCACACAGCACACAAATACAACACACACCGCACACAGCACACAAATTCAACACACACCGCACACAGCACACAAATACAACACACACAGCACACGCAGCACGCAGAGACAACACAGCACACAAATACAACACACACAGCACACAAATACAACACACAGCGCACACAGCACACAAATACAACACACACAGCACACAAATGCAACACACACAGCACACAGCACACAAATACAACACACACAGCACACAAATACAACACACACTGCACACAAATACAACACACACAGAGACAACACAGCACACAAATACAACACACACCGCACGCCACCGCGCGCGTTTGGGTCTCCCCTGGCGCGCGGAGCCTTTCACCCCAGCCGTGGACAGAAAGGCCCCGAACGCGTCCGGCGACGCCGACCGTGACACGGCCACCAACGCTGCGCCGCCACCTCCTCCACCCCGCCCCGGCAGGCGTGTGGGGCAGGACAGGTGCCGCCGACGCACGCGGGGCCCCGGCGTGCCTGGACCGTGCCCTGGAGGTCCTGCGGGAGTTCGGGAAGCGCTCCGCGTACGGCGGCTCCGTCCCCCGGGCCTACGCGGCGCTGATGCCCCTCAAGCGCCTCGGCAATCAGGTGACGGTGGGGGGGGGGAGAAGGCGGGGGTGGGGTGGCATTGGCCACATGGGGGGGCGAGGGCACCAGGGCACCAGGGCACCAGGGCATGGCTGTGGCGCAGGTACGGTGTGCGATGTAGCTGCGTGTGGTATGTGTACGCGGTGTGCTTTGCGCGTGTGTACGTATGTTGTATGCGTGTTGAACTTCTTTTCGCGCCGTACGTTGCCAACCGGGCTAATCGGAGGTGCGGGGGTAGGACGACAAACTAAACGCAAAAAGCAGCTTTATAGAAATGAGATTTCAACCTAGATTTCAAAGTGCATGGTTCCAGTGGCTTCGTGGCATCGGAAAGGAAGAGCGTTCAAGACGGCCGCAGAAGCGCATCTGAAAGCGCGCGATGCGGTGACCGCTGTCTTTGTTCGACGGAAGCCAATGTGGCCCGCCGAGCACCGGACGGGTGCTGGATGGATTTGTGGCGTCGCAGGAGCGGCGGCGGCGGCGGCGGCGCCGGCTTGGGGGAGGCCTTCGTCCAGCGGCGGCTAGGTGCTGGATGATGACGACGGCGGTGACGACGATGACAACGATGACGACAACGGTGATGACAATAAGGACGACGACGGTGATGACGGTGACGACGATGATGACGACGATGATGACGACAGTGCACTGGCCACCAGAAGGCTGTCTCTCCCCTCCTGCTCCTAAAGGGGAGCCATTGGGATGACTATAAGCTAGAAACGCTTGCTTAAGAGTATTTGGGTGCCGCTATAAATTGCCGCTTGATAAGCCACTTGGTTGAGCTATCATTTGTGGTGGCCAGGTCGCTTCTTACCTGGTCAAGTAAAACGTAGCTTTTAGTTTTGTGGTAGTAATTCCACTGAACGGCTTGGGCGGAGGTGCTCTATAAATTGGCGCCATCGCAGGACGAGTCCGAGACAGCTTGCGGGGGGGGGGGGGGGAAATGTCTTGGTCCAGCAATGGATTGATCATGGCTGACGACGATGTTTTCGACGACCGTGGCGATGGTGACTCCCTCTTCAACAGACGCTGCTTTATTTTTTTGTCAAGGAGGTGGCGGTCGGAGGCGACGAGGTGGCGGCGGTCGGAGGCGACGAGGTGGCGGCTGACGACGAAGCCGCGGCGGAGGAGGAGGCCACGAGCACTCGGAGCGCGCCGAGGGCGGCCGAGGGGCCGGCGGTCGCGGACGCAGGCGCTCCCGGCGCGGACGCCGGCCCCGCTATCAGAGACCCCTGGGAGGTCTTGGAGGATGTGTGGAGGGCGGTGGACCAGTCCAGGTGAGTGGGACAAAGGACAAAGGTAAATGTGCCCCCCACCTCCCCCGGTTTGCTTGGCAGTGAGCGACGACAGATCCCACCGTGTGATTCTATAAACTATTTTTTCTACTTTACCAGGCAAGGCCCACTGAGCTACGTAGCTCCTTTTCAGAAGCGACCTAGCCGTCGCAAATGATAGCTCAACGTAAGTGGCTTATCGCGTGGAAATTTATAGCAGCGGCCAAATACCATAAACGCGTGACGTTGATTCTAAATGTTGATTGAAAAACCGGAGGGTCTGGAGAAAAGTCCACACGACCACGGGGAGAGAGACACGCAAACTCCAAATATACAGCAGGCGTCGGGATCGAACCCGCGACCCCCTGTAGACCAGGCGAGGTAGTTAACATCTCCTAGCCACCGTGGCGGACAGGGCCCTACCCTCACCGAGAGAGGGGTAGGGCCCTTGTGTACCCAGGCCACGGTCCAACTTCGCCAATAATCTCGCAAATTGTTTGTACTCATCACGGAGCATAAACTATCATGCGAACTCCGGTCATCCTCGCCGCGGCGGCTTTAGTCTAACCATCAAACAAAGAAGGTTACCGCATTGCGTACTTTCAAATGCGCTTCTGCGGCCGTCTGGAATGGTCTTCTATCCGATATTAGAAAGCCACTGGAGCTATGCACTTTTAAATCTACATTAAAAACTCACTTCTTTATAACTGCTTTTTGTGTTTGGTGGTTTGTTGTCCTTCCTCCGCACCTCCAATTAGTGCGGTTGGCTACGTACGGTGCGAAAGAAGTTCATCACACATACCCGTTTTTTACCGGTATCAAAGCCTATTTATTTATTTTACTTGTACGAGGGACCCTTTTTGCCAGTGTCAATCTAAATTTTTTCATTACTTGTACAAATAATTTTAACTACGACGACGATGATGATGATGATGACGACGATATTGACTACGATGCCAATGACAGCATTGACAAAGAAGATGATGATGACGACGCTATCACTGACGACGACGGCGACGACAGCGACAAAACCGGCATCGCTTGCCCAGGATGGCACGCGCCATCATTTCCTCCCTTGTGCCGCCGTGCCAGGGACCTGATCTGCGGGCACGCGGGGCGGCTGAACGGCAGCGCCGGAGTCTCGTCAGTGGCTCAGCCGGAGTGGGCCTTCCTGCAGGAGCTGGTGCCGGCCGTGCGCAACCTCGCCTCCTCCGTCGGCGCGTGAGTGTGACGCCACGTGGCCACGTTTGTCCTATCTTGTAGATTTGTCGAGCGCGCTTTGATGGAGGCGCTTGATGCGATTAAAAGAAAAAAAAACGGCATGAGCAGTGGACATGACGTGGATGGCAGGGGCTCGCGAGGGGATGATGAATGGGTGGCATTGGTAGAGTGGTGCGTAGGGGATAGGGAAGGGAAGGAGAGGTGGTCATGGTATAGGGGTGCGTAGGGGATAGGGAAGGGTAGGGGAGGTGGTCACGGTAGAGGCGGGCGTAGAGGATAGGGTAGAGGAGCAGAGGGTGTAACAATAGAGGGGTGTGTAGGGGATAGGGAAGGGAAGGAGAGGGAAGAGGAAGAGAATGGAAAATAGGGAAGAGGTTGGCTGTAAGAGAGGACGGTTCGTAGAGCCACACTTTAGGCACGGTTAGGGTTCTGAGGGTTATGCGTCAGTATCCAAGACTAAAGGGTTCGTTCGATGTTTATGCCAGTGTTAATGCCTGAGCCAGGTTTTTCACGACAGTCGTCGCTGTGGGATTGTAGAGGCCCGAATAGTTTGGTTTTCCCGATCGCCCGATGTCTCAGATCTGGGCCGTGGTGGTGATACGCAGCCTCGCTTTGTGTTTGTGCCAGGGTCCTGGAATCGAACTGCAGTGAACACAGCATCACTCAGCTCTGCATTGTACTGCAGGGCTTCGTGAACTGCCAAGTGGTGCGCACACCCATACACATACAGACAAAGATCCCCTGTGTTGCCTTAACAGACTGTAGGGGCAAGTGCTATTAGCGAGTAGGACCTATGAAGGCCGGAACGGCACACGAGAGGGTGGGTGGCCAGCACCACGCCCGGCCGCCTTTGTCTCCCCAGTCGCGATGTTATACACATCACGCTAGGTGCTCATTGAGGCTGAGTCGATCTAGGGGAGGCCCAGGACCGGTTCAAATAATCGTCACTGGTGTTGGCCATGAGCGGGAATCGAACTCGGGCCGCTGGGTTCGTAGCACAGCGCGCTAACCGCTACCCCACCGCTACCCACACACCCACACACACACGTAAAGACGTCAGCCATGGCTCGGTCGTGCAGTGATTAGCTCGCCGCGCTACGAACCTGACCCCACCTGAGTTGTATTCCCGGCCATGGCGCTACTATCAGCAACCAGTCCTGGCCCACTCGCCCCCCCCACTCCTGCTAACGCTTCAGCGACCCCACCCTGACGAGCAAGGGTGAAGTGTGATCAAACAGACCCCCGTTTACCGACGCGCACGTACATACTCTACCGTACTTCTTTTGCACCATTCGTAGCCAATCGTGCTGATCGGAGGACACGGCGTCGGGAGGCCTTGATCGCAAAGTGGATTGGTGAGAGGGTCTCCAGAGGTTTTTTTTTCATTCGCAGACTTTCATGATGCCAGCTGTTTATTCGGAGTTTGCATGTCTCTGTCCCCGTGGTCGTGTGGATTTTTGTCCGGTTTTTCCCTTGACATGTGTTTAAGGGTTTCGCTGCTATAAATTTCCACGTGATAAGCCACTTCATTGAGCTATCATGTGTGATAGCCAGGTTGCTTTTGAAAAAGAGCTACATAGCTCAGTGGGTCTTACAGTTTATCTATCCACCGTTGGATGAGTGCCTCCCCACGCCAGACTTAATTCCGCGTGTCGGTGAAATGTGGGGAGCGGCGTATGAGTGCACGGTACCAAAAGTCTGTTGTTATTTTTTGTTCCATTACGATTGCCCCGGGCTGTGCACAACACAGCCCCCGCAGCAGCCTATCGCAGCCAGTTCAGCGGCGGTGTTCGCCCAAACGAGAACTATGGAGGCTCGCACCCCTGCTCGGCTTCCGAAATGCGATGAGATCGGGCACTTTTCGGGTGATTTGGCTTCGTAGGCACAATCCGTTAGAGGAGGTGAATATTAACACCGCGGTCGTAGCGTCCCAGATATTTTCGACCACCGCACCAGCAAGGCCACGCTCATTCGCGCGTCGCGTCAATCGGGAAGGGCGGCTGCCGATAGTTTGTGGATACGGAAGGGGCAGGGAGGAGATTTAGGTGAGATGAGTGGGTGCTGTAAACAGTGCGGAAAAGGAAACCGCGGCAGGAGTATTGAAGAGGGCCACAAGTCGCGATGGCGGTGGCGATGAAGGGGGGCCGAGTAGGCTGTGGATGATGCACACGAGACATCCTGATGCTAGCCCCAAAACAATAGTTAGCCAAACCAGCCGCGGGTAATAGCCCTGACTAACCAGCATCTCACTAGTCCTAACCCTGATGAGCCAACCAAATGGTAGTCCCTACTTGTAACTAGCCAACTATCCACGAGTACTAGATCTAACGCGCTAACCACAATATCCAGCCCAAACACTCACAATACCCCTGATCCTTTACCACGAGCACTAGCCCTCTCGCCCACTTAAATCCTACCTGCAAGTCTAACCAACTTTTCCAACCGGACACGAGCGCTCTTGCTCTACCCATAACCTCAACACGAGCACTTCAGCAAGACAGCGTTGACTATTCTCTCTGCGCTGATCGGTAATATCCCAGAGCAGCACGGAGGCACAGGGCCTCTTGTTCCGAGGCTGACACTAACGACCCTTGTTGGTTTTCTCCCATGTTGCGAGTGCGCTGCAGCTGAGGCTTCGACAGTGCACGTTGACCCCACAGAGCCTCTTCCAGTGTCTCTTTGGTCCACAGCAGAGGTGAGATACGGCCACTAAATGCCCCGGTTTGGCTGGGACAGCCCCCCCTAAAGGATTTGTGAAAAACATAATTTCGTCCCGATTTAATATTTTCTGGCCTCATATGCCACTCATAATCAAGACAGAAGGCGAGGCTACCTGAGTAGTGGGCGGGGCTACTCGAGTAGTGGGTGGGGCTACCGGAGTAGTGGGTGGGCTTCCGGAGTAGTGGGCGGTGCTACTGGGATAGTGGGTGGGGCTACCAAAATAGTAGGCTGGGACTACTCAAATAGTAGGCGGGGGCTACCCGAATCGTGGGCGGGGCTACTCGAGTGGTGGGCGGGGCTACCCGAGGAGTCGGCGGGGTTATTCAAGTTGCGGATGGAGTTATCTAACAAGTGGGTGGGTGCCTATATCAGAAGGCGTGGAGGACACTCGCTGTGATCGTAATCCCAGCGAGTGGCCTGACTGCATACCTGTGAACCTCTTTTCAGTGCCTAACTTATTCCATAACAATTCATACCTTATTGGTCAACCCGTGTCGTTATACATCTTAACGTTCCTCCTACGAAGCACCCATCACAGGAAGAAACAAACAAATAGACACAATTTTTGTTCTTGTTGCCCGTATTTAAATGGCTGTATGCCGTATGGACCTAAAAAACTCAATTCCCCTGTCCAAGAATACGGGGTAAACCATCTGGCTTGACAGCTATGTGACTCTTGACTTAAAGCTTTCATGACTGCAAAAAATCCTATTCTTTGTGTGTTTCGGTAAAGTCGATAGGTTCAAAGAATATACCAAAAAACTACGACGTTTCAATCGCAACACAAGCATTCTTCCTGTTGACGAACGCTTGTGTTGCGATCGAAACGTCGTAGTTTGTTATTTATTGTTATTTTCTTTTAACCTATCTACGTGACCCAAAGAATATAGCTATGTGACTGTAATGAAGCAGACATCATTCTTGGACGGAGAGTGGGTGGGAAAGTGCTGCTGCCTTCCACAGTGTGCAGCCGAGGTCACTTGAAGGAACCGCATTGGTAGCTCTCTGATGTCCACTTCCGCGGGCCGTTTTGTAACTCGAGAAGTTCGCGCTGCTCCGCGAGCGATCCGAACGGCCGCTTCGCCTCCTCGTGCCGTGACGTCAAAGGCTCAATTCGGATAAAATTAGAAGAAGAAGAAGAAAAAAATGTAAAAAAAAAACTAAACACATTCCTTCAAACGAAGCTCCCCACCCCCCCCCTCGCCGCCCCCACACAGCGTTTGTCGTGAGGCCCACCCGCGTGACGTCTCTCCGTCCGCCCCCCGTCCTGCTCCTCCTCCCCCGTGCCTCGTCCCGCCACTCCCCGTGCGGCAGGGAGAAGCTGGAGATTGGATGTGCCCAGCTGGTGGAGGCGGCGGCGGCGCTGGAGGGAGCGCGTCTGTCGCTGATGCCACACGCACAGCTCTCCGGCTGGTCCTGAGCGCGAGTTGGGGGGGTCGTCTCTCCCCCTGCCCCCCCCCCCCGTCCCCCCCGCCCCTCCTTAACCCCCCCCCATGCTTTGTCAATTGAATCGGGGGGCCCCAACCGATGACAATTTACACGCCCCATTTAATAAAACTACCGTGGTATTTTTTTTTCTTCCAGATAATAAAACGCCCTCCGGAAAGTAAAGCAGCAACCCCCAAAACTTTCAGCGATGTCAATAAAAGTGGTACAACATCAGCTCTCTCCCGCACGCATATAATACACAACAATAGGGACAATTTTTATTTAAATCTTTCGTGACTGCAGTGATTCATATTCTTGGTTCTTTCGGTAAAGTCACGTTGAAGGGAAACAATAAAATAATAAAATATATATAACAATATATTTTATTGTTTCCCTTCAACGTGACTTTACCGAAAGAACCAAGAATATGAATAGGGACAATGTCCCCACTCTGGCTTTAGAACACAGCGGATAAAGCGTGCGTCTGTTCGCAGCCTTGCTGGCTGCAGTTTACTCTTGAGTTGTTGCTGCAATCGTTGGTTTTTAGAATTAAAACATTTTACTGAGCCGATTTGAATGTTGCGAACGTGTTTAGTTTAGTTCTGGGGCAGTCTACAAATACAGTCCCGCATTGGCAGGTCACTATTGAAAAACTACGAATACTTGGTGAATATAATGAATCAAACATAACCCCTATGATGTTCTGGTCAGCTTTGATGTAATTTTCTGTTCAATTGCCCAATTCACTCGATGACCCGTATAGTACCATTGGAAACCTCATTTGCCAGTAACAAAATATGATAATTGGTTTTTTACCCTTTATCTGGCAACAAAACTGACACCTTTTTTACAAGGAGTCATGTTTACATTGACCACAATACCTGCGGTCGGAACGCAACCAAAAAACAACTCTGATAATGTATGCACTGTCCTTGAAATTGATTGGTCCACACCCGAGACAGCTTTCTTTGTCTCACATGGTGTTGGACCAGAAGACGATAAAAGGGTAAAAGGGTGTAAAACCAATTATCATATTTTGTTACTGGCAAATGAGGTTTCCAATGGTGTAAATGCTTAGCCCGAGCTCTCATACTCTGATGGTGCATTGCCTTTGAGTTGTGCACCTTTTGGCGTCTTCTGGTCCAACACCATGTGAGACGAGGCTCTAAAGAAAGCTGTCTCGGGTGTGGACCAATCAATTTCAAGGACAAGTGCATACATTATCAGAGTTGTTTTTTGTTTGCGTTCCGACCGCAGGTTTTGTGGTCAATGTAAACATGACTCCTTGTAAGAAAGTTGTCAGTTTTGTTGCCAGATAAAAGGATCGCCGAAACTGGCACGGACATTGACAAAGGAAATAAAGCAAACGTTTAAGCGAATTCTTGGCATTACTTTGAGAGACGAAGAGGAAGACATGATTTGAGGAATATACGCAGGTTCGAAACATCGCCACGTCGACTGCGAAGAAAGATGGGATTGGCGCGGACACGTCATGCCTAGCATGGATGATGCTTGGACCGTCTCACTAACGACCGATCGCCCGTCCATCACGGAGATGGAGCGATGAAGTCCGCCACGTGTGCGGGTACTCGATGGAGTGAGAGAGTGAACGCTGGAGCCAAGGGCTGTGGTGAGATGGAGATGGCAAGTGGAGTCCAGGGGATGGGTCCAGCAGAGGGCGGCAGCGGTCTACATGGGAGCAAAGCAACGAGGTACCACAAAGCCCCGCCCCTCCACTGAGTCCCCGTCCACTCGTTGCCCTGCTCCTGAGCCTCCGCCCACTCTCACTAAGCCCCCGCCTACTCTGAGCTACGCCCCTCCAATGAGCCGCTCATATACTCAGCCCATGCCCACACTCACTAAGCCCCGCCCACTCACTGAGCCCCTGCCCACTGAGCCCCGCCCCTCCACTGAGCCGCTCCTCTACTCAGCCCCCGTCCACTTTAACAGCCCCGCCCCTCCACTGAGCCGCTCCTCTACTCAGCCCCCGCCCACTAACTGAGCCCCCGCCCACTCTCACTAAGCCCCCGCCCACTCTCACTGAGCCCCCACCCACTCTCACTGAGCCGCTCCTCAACTCAGCCCCCGCCCACTAACTGAGCCCCCGCCCACTTTCACTAAGCCCCCGTCCACTTTCACGAAGCCCCCGCAACACTCTCACTGAGCCCCCGCCCACTCTAACCGAACCGCACCCCTCCACTGAACCGCTCCTCTACTCAGCCCCCGCCCACTCTAACCTAGCCCCCACCTACTCTGAGTCCCCGCCCACTCTCACTCATACCCCCGCCCACTACAACTGATGCCACGCCCAGCCACGCTGTAGGCCCCGCCTCTGTGTGGGGGCGCGCGCCCCGCTCGCCCGGGGTATAAAAAGCAGCAGCAGCAGCGGCGGCAGAGCTGAGAGGCAGTCGAGGGAAGTTCGTGGTGGCGTGGCACAACAACTACATCGACATAGCCACCACCACCACTACCACCACCACGCACACAGCTGCAGCCTGAGGAGAAGAGAGAGAGAGAGAGCGGGCTGCCTCGGCTCGCCACTTGCCCCAACAGGCAGCAGGAGGCAGTCGCCTGTTCGTAATTGTTATTGGGCGGGAGGCGTAATTGTCTTAATTGATTTAGAGGAGGAGTTGATAATTTATTTGGCGCACATAGCTGCTCAGGGCGTGGCTGTTGCCCCCCTCGAGTGGAGTGGTGGTGGTGGTGGGGTTGGTGTTGGTCCTGGTGAAGAGGTGGACGAAGTGCTGGAGAAAGGTTGGCCGGTGGACGAAGTGAAAGGAGGAGGTGGTTGTGAAGAAAGGTGGACTACGAGGTGGACGGAGGAGGTGGTGGTGGCTGGGTAGACGAGTTAGTGGATGAGACATGGGCGACGTGGTCTCATCGCACGTGGACGAGGCGAGGAAGCTGCAGATTAAAGGTGAGAGTGATTGTTATTATTATTCACTTATTTTCCAGAGGGCTCAACAATGAACTACGCAGTCGCCGTTCGCAACGTGTCATTTTTTTTAACATCGTGTCCACTTGAAACAAATTTGTTTCGTGTTTGGCGTGTTCTCCCGGTCACGGCTCTTGTCTGCATGAACTTCTTTCGCACCGTACCTAAGCGTAGCTATATCGGAGGGAGGTGAGGGGGCACTGTAACGACGAACCAAACGCACGCACAAAACTAGTTCTAAAGTAACGAGCTTGTCAGTCTTAGACGATGCTTTATAGGTGAAGTATATGCTCCCTGCGGCTTCCGAATATTGGAAGGAAGAGCGTTCCAGACGGCCAGTGGCAGGTTACGTCACATCCCACGCCCCCACCAAAGACAAAATATCCCACGCCCTTTGTAGCCTTCAAAAGACTGTTGGGGCAAGTGCTGTTAGCGATTTGGCAGCACCTATGAAGGCCGGCGCGGCACACGTGTGGCGGTGGTTAGCAACCACGCACGGACGCCTTTGTCTCCCTTGTGGCGATGTTTACCACACACCGCACCGGTTACTTATTTGAGGCTGAGTCGACCTAAGTCCACCAACCACCCCTTCACCAATCCGCACTGACCAGCGTGGGGAAGTATGGTCAAACAACCCTCAATGAGCGACATGGTGTGGAGGATTTTTCGTCCAGCGGTGGATCGAGAATTGCCCTCAACGTATTACGTGTGCAGTGTTTATTTAATAATACACAAATGGCAACCCACTGGAGTATGGGTTGTTTGACCATACTTCACCACTCTGGTATATGTATTTGTGAATATTTATACACGGTATAGTTAGGCGAACTGCTTGATTGATTTAACACGCCGTAGGCTTTCGCGACCAATATTCATAATATAGGTTTTACATTTCTTGGGGGGGGGGGGGGGGGGTTAATTTCGCGTCAATATAAATGTGTCGTGAAACCCGCCACCACCCGACAGGCCAATTAGAGGGTTTGTCACGTAAACGGAACGTGCCAAATTGGTGACAAGTACAGCAACAACGGCGGTGTGTTGGAGAGCAAAATCCGCAAAATTTTACAACCTTGAGCTCGATCGACATTTGCTTTCGTGATGCCCCTTGGCACGCGTGGTTTTTTTTTACGCGAGGTTTTAATTTGCGAGCCGGTTTACCTTTTTGTTTTGTTAATCCTCGACGACGTTTGTGGGTCCACGTTTAACCAACAGCAAATTGCGCAATCTCGACATGCTTTGTCGACCAAGGTTTGGAACTTTCCGTACCAGAGTTGCGTTTGTGGGTGTGCATATATATACACATACACACGCGCCTTCCCCATGGAAATTGTTTCAGGACGATGGTTCAAAAGGAAACACTTGATCTCACCTATTGAATTTAACGTCAAACAAATCTCAACAGCTGCCCCCCCTTCCCCTTGCGTCTCTAACTTCAACGAGATCTCGTCCATTCTAAAATGCCTTTAATGGGGTTGTCTAACATCTTGCAACTCTTCCTTGGCCACCCGACCACGAAGTAAAATAAAGCGATCGCACTCGGCACGGTGAATAAAAAGCAGTCCAATGAGTCTCGCCTAACTCGTGTCTTTAACAACAACAACCACCGCCTCTCGGTAACCACGGCAACCCACTTGATCTGCTGTCAATCATCCGTCTTGCCTGTCAAGCGCGCACGTGCTCCGGAGCTCCACCCCTGCCACCTCGGCGACGTCACGTGCAAGGTTTCTGTGAAGACCTTTAATCCGTGCGAGTCGCGAGTGTGTGTGTGTGGGGGGGGGGGGTCTTTGTGAGACTGCTCTTCGTATGGGGCGCCGCGGTGGCTAGGAGATGTTAACTACCTCTCCTGGTATACAGGAGGTCGTGGGTTCGATCCCGACCCTGACGCCTGCTTGTATATTTGGAATTTGCGGTGTCTCTCTCCCCGTGGTCGCGTGGATTTTTCTCCGGGTCCTCCAGTTTTCCCCTCCACGTTTAGAAACGCTCGTTCAGAGGATTTGGCTGCTGCTATAAATTTCCACGCGCTAAGCCAACTTCGTTGAGCTATAAGTTGTGATGGCCAGGTCGTGTCTGAAAAAAAAAAGCGCTATGGGAGCTCAGTGGGGGTCTTATAGCTACTAAAATAAAAGTTCAGTTTAAGTTTACGGTAGTTTATACGAGTGTGCTGTGTAGGTCTCTATGCGAGTCTGTGGATCTCTATGCGAGTCGTTGAGTCTATGGAGGGTGGGGGGGGCTGTTGGTCTCTCCGTACGAGTCCTCCTGGCTCCCCCTCTGCAAGTTACAGTGCCGTACAGTATTGTGGGTCCACACACCACCGCAGGTCGGGCGATGGGCAACATTTCTTGACATCATCCAGTCGCAGCAACACAACTCGTGGCCCACACGTTGACGTCTCGCTCGCTCGCTCGCTCCCTCCCTCCCTCGCTCGCCTGTCAACCTGCAGCCGAGAACCGGTTTCGACCTTTGATTGAATCTCATCGGCAGGGCGTGGTTCGGCTTGCACCACGCGCCGACCCCAATGAGCTCATGCCACTTGCTGGGGCGTTAGAACGCTTGGCGTGTGTCAAGCTGCCACAACGTGAAAGGGCGTAGTACCGCCGAGTGAGTTCCACCACCTCCCCAACTCCCCCTCCACGCGTTCGAATCATCATCCAGAACCTCATTAAACCCCCATTTTTCACGAGCTCTTAAGCACCGGCATTGTAATGTCACACGTGGGGGGGGGGGGGGGGGGGGGCGAGGTGTGCGTTGGGACTTCTTTCGGCGCCGTGCGTAGTCGGACCAGACCCCCCCCCCCCCCGCCCCCCGTGCCCCATTGTAGGGTGCTGGGTTGAAAGGACAACGCAAAGCGGTTCTAAAGGAACGAGTTCGTCAATCCTAGGTTGATGCTTTAAAAGGGTCACCCGCTTCCCAGTGGCTTCCTAAAACCATCGGGAAAGGAGGGGGGTGGGGGGGGGGGGAGCGTTCCGGATGGCCGCAGAACGTCACCGTGAAGCGTCGAGCGGTGCCGATTGGGCGTATTTGGCTCGACGATTTGCAAAAAGCCGCCGCCGCTGCTGCTGCGAAGATGACCGGAGATCGCGTGATGACGGTTCATGCTCCTTAACGTGACCTTGCCGTGACCTTGACCTTATTTGTCTGCCGCGTGCGGTGCTCAATTTAATCCGGAACGCTCTGGAACAAATTGTTCTGTCACGCAGCATCCGTCTCCCCGGCGCCTCTCGCTGCTGTCCTCGTGTCACCGCGGTGCCGTGAGCGGTGGTTGTTAAGGGTGCTACAGGCTGCTGCTGTTGCCTGTTACAGGCTAACGTCGGTGGTGGCGGCGGGGGGCAATATCTCAACCGATCGTGGGCGCGTCCCTCCACCTCCCCCCCTCCCCGTGTCATGGGTTAGGTCGATTCAGCTTGCCATGAAAGTTCCCTGTCGTGGGCATGGTGCACCAAACACACTTGGGGGAGACAAAGGCGGGCCCGGATTTTCGTTGCCTCCCGCACCACAACAGACCCCGGCGCAAGTGGCAACGCTGTGATCGCTTAATAGGTGCTCGCTAACAGCACTGGGGCGTGGGGTGGGGGTGGTGGTAGTAGTGAGATCTTCCCCAGTGGACATGCAACGCTGACGCGAACGTGGCTGGGTACGGCCGAACAGGATTTGTGAAGCTCTGGCGGCCACCCAGCCACACTCTGGTGCAGTGCCGGATTATATCCTAGTAGCTACACAAGTAGCTACACGTGTAGTAGCTACTACACATGTAGCTGCATGTGTAGTAGCTACTACACATGTAGCTGCATAATGCTACGGGAGCCCCGCAATTTCAAGGGCCCCGCGCTAAATGTTTTCAAGCTATCAATTCCGGTTCGTTGATGCTGCACTTGCTCTATTACTATAGTACTATACCGCCTTAAACTTTCATGAACGACTGGGTGTTTAAGGTTAGCGATTTGTCGTATTATCTGGCTGTATAGCAAATTTAAAGTTACTTCACTGTGCAAGTTAAATATTTGTGTTTTTTATTTATTTAGGACCCCTTTATAACAACAATGTTACAGGCCCCGCGCACGAGCTTAATATGGCACTGCTCCAGTGGCTTTGCTGAGTGGTCCGTGGTGGGGGGGTTCTCGGCGGCAGTGTTCTTGACCGTGGTGGTTAATAAGTAAAGGATTTATGTCATCGGCGGTTGTGCGTGGGCAGGCGATTGTGGGCCCTAATTGCACTGTATACGGGCCGGGGAGCAATTGTCTAAAAGAGAGAGTTTAACTTTGTTGTTATTATTGTTTTAGAGAGAGAGAGGGCTGCCAAAGTCGGGGGCAGGGGTGGGGTGGTTGGCGCAATTCTGAAATGTCCAACTATTTATGAAATTAGACATTTTAAAAACACACTGCAATGCATTTTCCCTGGTAAGTGGTCGGGACAGTATAACTCCTCTAATCCGCGATCTAAATTACCCATAACTCCTGTTATCCAACACAGGGGGTTTCACGGACCCTACAGCTATCTTCTGGGTTCTTTCGGTAAAGTCACGTAGAATGGAGATAAAATAATAAAAATAATAACAACAGAATAAAAATCTCACGACTACACAAGTAGTAGCCTTCCAACTTAGTAGCCTTCCTGCTTGTGTTGTGGCCGAAACGTCGTGAGAATTTTATTCTATTATTATTTGTATTATTGTATCTACATTCTACGTTACTTTACCGAAAGAACCCAGAAGATGAATCCCTGCAGTCACGAAGGCTTTAAATCGAAACCTACAGTTATCGTCCGCTGCCCCCCCTATTTCCTCCTGTTATCCGTGATTTTACGCATAAAGTGCCAGTGTAGCAAAGGCAGCTTCCAAACACCCATAGGGGGAGGAAGTCGCGTGGTTAACCCTCTTATTATCCGTGGGTTACAGCCGCGGGTAACGCACGTTGCGTCGTCGCTACGAGCCTCAAATCCCTCCCCGAAAAGCGTTGTGCTCAGCGTCATCGACGCAGCAATGGCAG